CGAACCTGTTGCCAAGTTTATGACCAAGGTTGAAAAGCTTCACTCATTCGTACATGAGTGGCAGACCGTGGCTAGCAGAGAATATTCAGCTGTTATTGTCTACGATGAGATTACAAGTACTCTCATTAGCTGGCGCCGTCTTGAGCTGTCAACCTGGGCCAAGCTCTTGGACATCGAGAAAGAGCGATGCGAGGACGAGGTGAGTGCTTGGTGGTTCATTGCCTACGAAGCACTCATCGGTGCTCCCATCATGATGGTCGAGGCAGGCGAACAGGACATGACCGAACACACGCAAAACTTGGTTTTGACCCTGGAGCAATTCTTCAAGTCTACAACTACAGGCCAGTTTGCTCGCCGTCTACAGCTTGTTGCCAACTTCCAAGCACTGCTTGAAGTTTTCACCACAGATTATCCCTGCCTCAAGAAGCTTGTCTCTGCCTTGGACAACTTCCTCCACCACTACGGACCCTTCCAGCCTGGAGTTGACAAGTATCTGACGGAGAAGCGGTCCGTTCTTGAGAAGGATATCAAAGAGCAGATTCAGCTTGCAAGTTGGAAAGATGTCAATATCGTGGCTTTGAGGGAAAGCGCTAGAAGGTCGCATGTTAAACTATTCAAGCTGGTTCGAAAGTACCGTGCAGCCCTTGGACAGCCGGTTCAATCAATCCTTGAAGCAGGCCTTCCGGAAAGCACCGAGGAGATCACTTCAATGTCCCAAGTAGAGCCAGTCCGCCCCACTGCCACGTTCCCTGAAGCAATGGCTATTTGCCAAAATGACAAGAAACTGTGGTCCACTCGAGCGCTCAGATTCCAGAAGCCGGATGGAACAGCCAACAACATGATGAACCTATATTCGTCAATCCCAGCCGAATTCGACATTGCGAAGGACCTCGACAGCTTCATTGTCTCGGTGATCGAAAGCATGAATGAATTCAAGTCCAAGACACCCAAGGTCCTGAACAAAGACAACAAGGATGACGTCCAGCACCTCAAGTCCCAGAAACGCCGTCTCTATGCTGAGACCCTCAAGCAGCTCTATGAGATGGGCGTGAAACGTAATGCTGGCTCGAGCGTGATCGAAACACAAGAAACAGTTCCGCAGGTTCTCGCCACTGCTGCCGCCTTTGAGGCTGGAGCTGCAACCTCAACTGCAGTTCAGAGTGCCGACTGGTACTTCCACAGACTTCTGGATCTCCTGCCTAAGACACGTCTAGCATCTCGCAACTATTCTGAGGAGCTAAGCAATGTCGAGGTCCACAGAAGCATGGGTTCTATTGAGCATCTCATTTTCACTGTCCGTCGCCAAAGAGGTGTCATTTCGCCTGCCCTCACAGGCTTGGGCAAGTTGAAGTCTACCCTTGACAAGGTGCAGAACCTTTGGACAGCGGCTTCGAACTCTCTGTCGCAAGACCATGCTTCTGCATCGGAAGAGCGAACTAACCTGGCCAGAATCGTGGCTTGGCTGGCTCCTATTCTTGGACTGGCTGCAATGATCATCGGCGTGCATTCCAAGTTCTCAGGAATTGATGCATCCAAGATTGTGGAACAGCTCCGTGCCAAAAAGGCATCCTTCGATAGCCTACGCAAGTCGCACGAGGCCCTTCCCATGCTTCCCACCGGAATTGCGTCTAACGCAAACTACGAGATCGCGCAGCAGACACGATCATCGCTCGATGAATTGGCTGCTGACGTAAAGCAATGGAGCCAGTCTCGCCCTGATCTTTCCTTCGCGCTGGATCAGATCACACCTTGGGTCAACACAAACATCGCTGCTCTGCCTGAGGTCAATGATGAGAACAGCCTATCCATCCAAGCCTTCGATAGCAGCCTCCTAACGGCCATTGACAAAATGCTCATCGGCCTGCAGAATCTCAAGGATGTGCCTTCTGCCATCACCTTTGATGGACTGCTGTCGAGGAGTGATGAGTTCTTCTCTCGCGGCATTAAGGCCGTCCGTCTCACCGAGGTCACCACCGCATTGGAGAAGGTCCTAGATCAATTGCACCACCTGCAAGATCACTCCGCTGCTGGCCTCTCTGTTGCTGCCGCACTGATCACCAGTATCCTGCCTATCGCCAACAGATACTACCAAATCTGCCGGGATCTGGCTGATCGCTTCATCGCTGTTCATCGCGAGATCTGTAAGACATCCTACATCCTGACCAAGACCTTCAAGCAGGTCGCCTCCGAAGGCTTCTGTAGTCCTGCGGAAGCATCCCAAGATCAAGGCAAGGAAGGACAGATGGAAAGCGGAACAGGTCTCGGTGAAGGCGAAGGCGCGGAAGATATCAGCAAAGATATTGGAGATGACGAAGATCTGACTGAGTTGGCGCAACAAGAGAACAAGAAAGAGGATGGGGACGATGAGATGGATGATTCTAAGGACGCCGTCAACATGGATCAGGAAGATTTGGAAGGCGATGCCGAGGATCGCAAGGATGAGGAGGAGGAGAACGACGACAGTGCCGACGAAGGAGATGACGATATCGATGAAGAGACAGGAAGCGTTGATGACCTTGACCCAGGTGCTGTGGACGAAAAGCTCTGGGACGGTGGTAATGATGAGCAGCAGAAGGATACTGAGAACGAAGAAGGAAAGGGCCAATCAGAGGCCGAGCAACAAGCTGCCGCTCAGGAAGAGAAGGGTGACAAGGATGGCGAAAAGAGCGAAGAAAAGCAAAAGGAAGGAGAGGAGGAGGAAGAAGAAACAGAAGATGAGGAGGCCCCCGAAGACGAGGGCGAGGCAGTTGGCCGTGAAGAAATGGACGTCACCGATCCTCAAGCGAAGGAAGAAGAAACACTTGAACTTCCTGAGGAAATGCAGCTTGATGATGGTGAAGGCAAGGACGACAATGGCGAGGATGACGATATGGATGATATGGATGACGATTTCGGCCCTGCTCCGGAGGAAGAAGGCAAGGTCGAAGACGCCGATGATAATGCCGGCGAAGAAGACGCCGAGGCAGCCCCAGAGGATCAAGTGCCAGGTGAGGAAGATGAAGAGATGGCCGATGATGCGGAGGAAACCAATGAAGGCGAAGCCGGAGAAGAGGAGGAAGAGGAAGCTGGTGGAGAAGATCCCGAGGAGCCTGAGCAGGACGACTTCCTCGCCCAGCGTGATGAGAATGATGCCGCAGGTGACAACGTCGCTCCCAGTGAAGCTGTCACTGGTGGCCTCGGAGCCGAGCAAGACCAAAATGAAGAAAAGGGTGCCTCAGGTGACGCTCAGCAGGAGAGCGGCTCGACTGATCCCAGTGCCAACGTCGACCAACAGACAGGTGCTGCCAAGGATAGCGAGGAGAGCCAGCCTAGCCGAGACGCTGCTGGTGGCGAAGATCACGGTCCAGATGAACCTCAGATGCAGGCATTCAAGAAGCTCGGTGACATCCTCGAGCAATGGCACCGACGACAAAAGGAGATCCTCAATCCGTCCCAACAGGAGGAGGAATCCCAGCCTATGCCGCAGGACACCGATATGGCCGATGCGGACTTCGAGCACCTCAAGGATGACGAAGATGCCGCAGACACCCAGGCCCTTGGACAAGCAAACGACGATCAAACTCAAGCCCTCGACCAAAGCAAGGGTGTGGAGTCCGACATCAAGCCCGGTGAGAACGATGTCCTCCCAGACGTGTCGGACGAGCAGCAAGATGCCGTGGACAACCAGCTTGAGGATGAAATGCAAATCGACCGCGAGACCGTTCCCACTGATGGCGAGTCTGCCGGCGCCTTCATTCCTGGCGGTCAATCATCCCACGATCGCGCAGACGGAGCACAGGGCACTGAAGAAGTGGACGAGGAGCTCGACGAAGTCGACTCGCAACTCGCAGCGATCCACCTTTCCTCTTCACTTCCCCCATTGACCCCACAAGACGAAGCCCGCCGCCTCTGGTCGCACTACGAGTCCGCCACAAACGATCTCTCCCTCTCCCTGACCGAGCAACTGCGCCTCATCCTCGCCCCCACAATGGCCACCAAGCTCCGCGGTGATTTCCGCACCGGAAAGCGGCTTAACATCAAGCGTATCATCCCCTACATCGCATCCCAGTACAAGCGCGACAAGATCTGGATGCGCCGCTCTATCCCCTCAAAGCGCAACTACCAGATCATGCTGGCTGTCGATGACAGCAAGTCCATGCTGGAAAGTGGCAGTGGCCAGCTCGCCTTCGAAACCCTCGCCCTTGTTGCGAAGAGTCTGAGCATGCTGGAAGCTGGCGATCTGTGCGTCCTTGGCTTTGGTAACGAAGACCATGTTCGTGTCGCCCACGAGTTCGGGAAGCCCTTCTCCTCCGAGGCCGGCTCCCAGGTCTTCCAGCACTTCAGCTACCAACAAACTGGTACTAATGTGCGCAAGCTGATCGCCGACTCTATTGCTCTCTTCCGCGAGGCTCGCTGGAAGCGCTCGCCTGGCTCTGGCTCTGCCGATCTCTGGCAGCTTCAGTTGATTATCTCTGATGGTATCTGTGAAGACCATGATACTATTCGCCGTCTTGTCAGACAGGCGCTTGAAGAGCGCATCATGGTCGTCTTTATTATCGTCGATGCTGTCAAGGGTAGCTCTATCCTTGACCTCTCGCAGGCTAGCTTCGAGGCCGATCCTAGTTCTGGCGGTGAGATGAAGCTCAAGATGAAGCGATACCTCGAGGACTTCCCCTTCCCATACTACCTTGTTGTTCGTGATGTGAGGGAGTTGCCCTCTGTTTTGGCTACTGCACTTAAGCAGTGGTTCGCAGAAGTTGTGGATGTGTCGTCTTGATGCTCCCAAAAATTTAAAAGGAGTTGGAATTGTCTATTTGGAGTTATTTTGTTACATTTGACGGCGTTGGGATGATTTCTTTTTGTATATGATAGATTTTAGAGATATGACATATCAGATGAATGTACATTTTTTACATTTTTATTCAAATTTCCCGTATATGATTTCCTACAAAATGGTATGGTATCTCAATGCTAATGCGCTTGACAAAAATTCCCCCAAAATAGCCTTATGTATGCTAAAACTACCATCCGTACTTGGATCCAGCTTCCTTCTTGTTTCTCCGACCTGTTGCAAAGCTTTCCTCCAATGCCTCCTTCTGCGAGCTTGCAACGTTGAGCAATTGCTGGAGCGTATGCTTGCCCGGCGCAATGGCGCGCACAGGGTTGTGCTGTGCTCCAGCCAGCTCGCCTTGAGCCAGAACCTGGTTTGATGCGTACTCCTCGTCTGTGTTGAAGGTACGCACCTGTGACTGCGACGGCATGGCATTCCGACCGAAGAGCTGGCGTCTTTCGGCCTTGGACAAGTTCAGATCGTTGGCAATGCTGTCCAAAGATGACGTAGGATTGGTTGATACTGTTGCTGTTGAATGCTCCATGGCGATTGGTGCAGATTCAGCGAGTACTGGACCAGCTGCTGATAATTCTTCGCCTTCAGCGTTGTATACCAGCGGCTGGTAGGTTGTCGATGGTCCAGGTGCCGGGGCTGGCTGAGAAGTGGCCTCGTCCGTGGATAGAGAGAAGAGACTGACTTTAGGTTTTGGTGGTGCAGGTGCAGGTGCAGGTGCAGGGGTAGGGGTAGGGGTAGGGGCTTGCTGTAGAGGTTGAGCAGGCTTCGGCGCTGCTGTTGACGAAGGTGTTGGTTGTTCGGCAATCTTGGTGGTCTTCCTCTTCTTTTGAGGCCGTCCGACGGATAACGGTCTGAACATCATTGGATTTCCTTGCAATTTGACCTCCGCTGGGGTTTTCATTGTCTCCACCGGTGCATCTGATCCAGTGTCGGGGTTTGAGCTGGCAGGTGCAGATGTGGTGTCCTCTGCGCCTCCCACTAGATCTTCGAATGCGTAATCATTCTTCATTTCCGCATCAGCTGTGCGATCAAATCCAGGGCCGGCACCTGTTTTGAGACTAAACACTTTTCGTGTTGTCGCCACTGGTGCTTTCTTTTCGAGTGTTCGTTTCGGCGCTGGAAGGAAGGCGTTGAATCCTGAAAGGCCTCCTCCACCCAACCGAGCCTTCTTGCGCGGACCATCTTCGGTGTCTTCGCCGGATGGGTGCTCAGGTTTGATATCTGGAATCGCGATGCGGATCTTGCCCGAGTCGCTGCGGTCGATCTGGAACCCAGCTTTGGAGCCGACCTTTTTTGTTTTGCTAATCTGGGGCACGGGTGTAGTATCTGGTTCGGCATCTGAGCCTTCGGAGTCGGAGTAGCCTACTAGCACCATGGTGGGAGATTTATGTTGGGGGTTGTTGTTTTTTCCTATTTGAAGATCGGACCTGGTGACGAGTTAATTTATTTAATGCCCGATCCCTAAGGCACCAATAAATTACATAAGCATCCCATCCGAATCTCGATGCGGAGATGAAAAAGGAAAAAGACATTACATAGTGGACTAGGGGGGACGGGATGGAATGGACCAAAGAGAAAAATGTCCGAAAACACAAGCTAAAACTCACTTTCGATAGTGAAACAGCAGGGATGATCGCATCACTTTGTAACGTCATCGCATCCGGGTTCTCCGCTTCTTTGGAGGTTAATAGGGTCATACATTGGACAATGGTGTTCATAGACATTTATAGTTAAAGAATTGGATCATCTGAATTGGCTAAATTGGCTAAATTGGCTGAATTGACTGAATTGACTGAATTGACTGAGCCCAAGAATTGATATCTGATGTACGGAGTACGTACTCCGTAATTAAGGGATGTAAGTGTACGGAGTAGATAAGTCAAAATAGGAGGGACTCAAAGGAATAACAGAAATAATACTACATGACCATTGAGTTCAGATAAATAGATTCTAATAGAGACCAAATCAAAGCTAATAGACTAAATAATAGTCTTTCAAATAGACATATCACCTTAATAGAAGATGTTCAAGGGTTCAAGTGTAAAGTGCATAATGAAAGATCAATGCGTCATTCTGGCCGCTGCCCCTCCCCACTTAATCCGGACCTCCCATTCCAGCTTTCTTTCCCCCCATCCCCCCCAATGGCCCCAAAGCCTGTCTAAACTTCTCTCCATGCCGAGTCTAGGAGGTTTACTGAAGAAGAGGCGAACGAAGGATTCGCAAGATCTAGGGAAACCAGATACTCAGAACCACGACGGTTCAGGCGCATCCATGCAACCCGCTTCACACGCTTCGCCCCAGCACACGGGTACGGGTACACACGAAAATGCCGCGAGTATCGACAACATTATAAACCAGGAGCAGCTGAAACAGGAGCGTGTCACAAAGGGGAAGTACTCTCAGGAGGACTTCGAGCTTCAGCGCACCCTGGGAACGGGGAGCTTCGGTCGTGTCCACCTGGTGCAATCTAACCACAATCATCGCTTCTATGCGATGAAAGTGTTGAAGAAGGCCCAGGTGGTCAAGATGAAGCAAATCGAGCACACAAATGACGAGCGCCGCATGTTAAATCGTGTCCGCCATCCATTCCTCGTTACGTTGTGGGGAACTTGGCAGGATTCCCGAAACCTCTATATGGTCATGGACTTTGTGGAGGGAGGTGAATTGTTCAGTCTCCTGCGCAAGTCACAAGTGAGTGAACCATGACACACTTCCATTGGTCTTGTGTGTGTGTGAAGCAAAAAACTCATCTGTCATTATTAGCGATTCCCGAACCCGGTGGCCAAATTCTATGCCGCGGAGGTTACCCTAGCGCTGGAGTATTTGCACTCACACCAGATCATCTATCGTGATTTGAAGCCAGAAAATCTTCTATTGGACCGCCATGGTCATCTGAAAATCACGGATTTCGGATTTGCCAAAGATGTGCCGGATATTACTTGGACACTTTGTGGTACCCCCGACTACCTAGCACCGGAGGTTGTCTCTTCCAAGGGATATAACAAATCAGTTGACTGGTAAGCGTGCTTTCAGTGCTTGCATCGAATTGTTCTAACTGTCCCAAGGTGGTCATTGGGAATCTTAATCTTTGAAATGCTGTGTGGATTCACTCCCTTCTGGGACAGTGGATCTCCAGTCAAGATCTATGAGAATATCCTGCGTGGCAAAGTCAAGTATCCTCCATACTTGCACGCCGACGCAGTTGATCTGCTCTCTCAGTTGATCACATCCGACCTCACCAAGCGCCTCGGCAACTTGCACGGTGGCCCGAGTGATGTCAAGAACCATGCCTGGTTCGCCGAGGTCACTTGGGACCGACTAGCTCGTAAGGACATTGACGCGCCATATATCCCACCCATCCGTGGTGGACAAGGCGATGCAAGCCAATACGACAAGTATCCGGAAGAAACAGAGCACTATGGCCAGGAAGGCGAGGATCCGTATGTACTTCTTTCCACGCCACCCGTGCACCTGACTAACTCGTTCCAGATATGGCCACCTTTTCCCCGACTTCTAAGGTGCTTGTATGATTTTATGACGCGACGAAAAGTCCTCTGGGGGAGGGCCGGAACTGATTGACCCCGGGAGGAGTCGTGAAAACCCAGGAGCCATTATATGAAAATCCATACTTTTCTATATGCACATCATTTTTCTTAGCAATTACAATCGAATTTTTGTGTTTTTTTTTTCTTTCAATTGCCTGCTCGATGTACAAATGGATTCGTCGTGAACCCTATTCTATTCCCAATCTCTCCAACCACTGGGGCACCAAAAGCCACGCCCATATTATACACGGGCTACTAGGCCGCTTCTATCGTACAGTAGTTCATTCACAGAGGTGTGTGTGTGTGTCTTTTGCTTCTTGTTTCGTCCTTCTTGTTTCGTCCTTCATCTTCCTTGCTTTCTTCCGATTCGAGGATGGATTGAATTTAGCCCAGGATTCCGCTGCCGCCCTCGGGCATGCCGGTAGCCATGGAGGCAATGGCAGCAGCATCCTGACCACCCATACGCTTGGTCTCGACGCCGATACGGGCGATGTAGGTCTTGCTTGTGGTGTTCCACATGGCGATGTACTTCTCCATGCAGCTAGACAGGCAGGTGTTCTCCTTGGCCGAGAGCGAGGTACCGGGGGCGGGAACGCAAGCCTTGAAGCAGTGCTTGTTGATTTTCTGGGGTTGTTGTCAGTTCGTTGCCGGATATGGATATCAAGGGTGGTGACGTACTCCGATCAGGGAGCGGGCGTTGGACATGGCGGCCTCCTGCTGAAGCTGGCGCATGACTGCTGCCTTGATCTCCTCGGAGGTCTGAATGGGAGCGGCGGAGCCGGAACCGAAAATTGACGACATTATGAGATAGTGAGATTGGTGGAAAAGCCGGGGATGAGATGTGGTTGAATTGGATCGAATCGAAGAAAGTCGGCGGACTTCAGGATCTGAGGTGCAGGGTTGTGGCTGGTGTTTTTACTGCGCCACATTCGATGTGGACACCTTAGCATAACAAGCTGTATACTTCACCTCCTTGTCTCCGCGCCTCAGGAACTTCGCCTATTCACTCTTTGTTGTCGCCTTTCTTCGACTTTTTTTTACGGCCCCTCCTCTTCTTTCCTACTTACTGGGTTTTCGGGTCCTGGCGACACCGTACCCCGTTCATCCCACCTCCGGTCTATCCTTCAAACTTTCCGGGCTCCCCTCCATTGAGCCCTAATACAATTCCACAATGCGTCTTCCGTCTATTTCCTCGCTTCTCTGCTTCGCAGGCCTAGTTGCCTTACCCGTGACTGCCTACGACGACCCAAATATCAAAAGCATTCCCGTATGTGCTCAATGTTGACTCGATTTCAAGCCGAGGTACTGATTTTGGATGTTTGCTAGCTTCGCACCCACAGCCTTTCTCCGGTATGATTATATCCCGAGCCCAGCTTGTCTACGACTTCTGGAAACAAGCTTGCATAGCCCGTGCTCCGAGGAGGAATATCAGTATTGACCGCCATTAACAGCCGTACCTCGATTCGGATTTCCAAAGCCGCTGGTTCGACTTCGGAGGAGATACAGTAATCCGCGCTGACAAGTAAGGATATTCCGGACATTCAGGTGGAACTCCTCATGAGCGCCAATGCTAATCTTCGTCTTTGTGTTCAGATACGTCCGCCTCACGGCTGACCGGCCTTCGCAGCAAGGATGGATTTCCTCCCGCGTGCCTCTGACCGCAACCAATTGGCAGGTAAATACACGGTCCTCGCGAATGGAAGTATGCGCCAAAGTCTCACGTATATTCCCGCTAGATTGAACTCGAGTTCGAGATCCATGGCTCCGGCAACTTGCATGGTGATGGATTTGCGCTCTGGCTCACCAAGGAGCGCGCCACGCAGGGCCCTGTTTTCGGTTCGACAGACAGATTCGAGGGTCTCGGTATTTTCTTCGACACTTACAAGAACAACCGCCCCGGTGTGTCGTTCCCTTACGTCATGGCCATGATGGGTGATGGGCACACTACCTATGACCAGGCGCATGACGGCAAGGCAAACGAGCTGGCCGGTTGCTCTGTGAGTTGAATTTATTCGCAGATATTTTGGATATGTCTCTAATTTTTTACAGGCTCGTGGTCTCCGCAGCGCCCCGGTTCCCACAAAAGCTCGCCTTACCTACTTCCAGGATAAGTCCCTGTCCTTGGAGCTGCAGTATAAGTCTGAAGACTCATGGGTCGAGTGCTTCAATCTTTCTGCCGAGGATTCTAACATCGCCATCCCCTCCGTCGCATACTTGGGTCTCTCCGCCGAGACCGGCGAGCTGAGCGATAACCACGATATCATCTCCCTCAAGGCCGAGAATCTATACTCGCTTAACCGCAGCAATGACAACAAAGGCAAGACCACGGAAGGTCGGTCCAAGGGCCCTACCCGCTCCTCCATTAAGCCTGTGAAGGAGAAGAGTAGCTGGTCTTGGTTCCTCTTCAAGACCATCCTGTTCTTCGCCGTTATTGTCGGTGGTTACTTTGGCTGGACGATCTACCGGACCAAGGCCCGGTCATCGCGTTTCTAAATTTACGTTGTATGGATATTTTGGCAAAGCACAGGTTTCAGACCTTTCTTCTGTGCGATTCAAGTTGGTCTCTGGGGTTTCCCAGCTTTTGTTCTGACGAAAGGGACCTTGCATACATAGCCTGTTTGAAGCTCTTCTTTTTACTCTGATTTACCGTTCAGCTCCCACTCCAGTTCTTGTTATCTTTTCTCTTCATCCTTGAAATGAACTAAAGTCACGATCATTCAAAAAAATCCTCTAATATGCAGCATGATGCTTGGGGTATCAATAGTATATCGTACAAGTAACAAATCAAGACGCCGCCCAATGTAACTTCCCACCTCGTCACTTCTGCCGTTCTCTCTCCTCATTCCACAGGCGATCCACAATCTGGAAGACCTCCGTGACACTGCGCATAACAACATCATCAATCCCCAATGCGCCATATCGATGTTGAATCTTATCAGGATGCCAGCGAATGCGCTCCGCCTTAAGTGTACCAATTAACTCGGCGGGCGCCGGAGCATGACGCATGAACTCCTCAACAGCCTGGGGCCGAACATCGACTCTCTTCCCAGAGCGAACAGGCCAGAATATCAGATTGCGTAGCGGCTTAGGAGCAGACCCCTCCGCAGCCTTCCCGATGGTCTCCCATCTCTCCAAGTACTCGGCCCAGGGCGCGCCCCACTCAATCTTGGCTCTCTTGCGCTCCACGCCTCGCCGTAAACTATCATCCATAGCGCGTTCAAACTCCTCCCTCCCAGACTGTGCATTCCGCTGAGCCTCCTCCTTCCTTTTCTGCTGCCGCTCAGCGCGCAGACGCTCCTGCTCGGCCAGCATGCCTTCCCGTGTCCGCTCCCACATCCGTCGACGGACGTACTCCACATATTCGTCCTCGGTCATCTGCTCCAGCTCGCCCTCTGGGCCCCGTTGAACATCGGGCACGCGATAGTTGTGGATTGGCTGGCCGTAGACAGATTCCCAGTATGCTGCGCCCTCGTCATCACCGAGAGCATCAAAGAGCGATTCTCGGAAGGTGTCTCTGGTTGAACCGAAGGGGTTTTCATCTGTAGGGTCGGGTCGCTTCTCCTCGCGATGACGCCGCTTGGAGGGTTCGTCGTCTCGTGTCCGTGATCTATGACGGTGGGTTCGTTTTCGATGCGGGCGACTGCCATCTTTGAAACGAAATGCCCGGCTGTGACTCGCGCGGGAATGTTCTTTTGGAGGAGGGTTGGAGCTGTGAGATTCTTTGGGGTCTTCGGCAGGTTTGGTGGGTTGAGGTTGCTCTGGGGCGTGGGATACTCCAGGGCCCTCAGCTGGGGTGGAGTTGGAATATTCCATCGAATGTATCTTTCAGCTGATGGAGCAGTTCCAATTAGCGGATCTCATTGTTTGGGGGTGGAGTAAAACACCAGAGGAATGTCAAAAAAAGATAAATGAGCCCGATCTGAGAAGCACCCGCGGAGATAACGTGTCTTAGTCATCTTATCTCCAGCCCCACCAAATATGTGGAAAGACATAGATCGGAAATTATACACAAGTATTGAAGTAGACTCAGAAAAAAAGAAGATACCAGTGGCTGGGATGTAAATGCAGAACACTGGAATCCAGCCAAAACCTGCAAAGACCTGACGTATGACCACTGAATAATGAACATGGCCACCAGATGGCTGTACTTGAGACTACATGCTGGAAGAAATGACAGATAAACGACCTCCAGGACCCCAAGGGTCACCTGGTTGCATTAAGCCTAGTCTACAACTGAAAATTTAGATAGAAAAATATGAAAGTCAATACGAGTGAATGTTCGATCCTAGGATCTAGAAGCCCATCGCGGTTTCCATATGAAGTTGGCAGGGACAATCGTGCACATCTTCGTCCTCGGCATGCCTTCGTCCATATCGTTGTACCCCGAGCTTCTATACCTATGCTCTCAATCGAATAGGTAAGAGTGACGAATTATTCAAAACCTTATACTCGTGAAGCTCACATCGATTCTTATCAGAGAACCTCACTCACGGCTGCTGAGGCGAGACATTCAGTTATATCAAATTACCCGGACTCCCCTGACGTCTATTCCAGGACGCGATGAAAAATGGCCGACTGTCATAGTTGAAGTCGGTGTTTCGGAGTCAAAGCTGAAGTCAGATGCAGAATGGTGATGGACTCAAAGGGCCAGGTTAAGCTTGTTATCATTGTTACTGTCAATCGAGAAACCCCCATTATCACGATTGAATGGTTCTAGATCCAGATATGAGCCCCTTACAACGCCAGCGGCCTTGTCACTTGCCAACTACACGACATTCGATAATGACATCCCGTGAACTAAAAGGACCTGACGCACAGATCATCATTAGCCCACCAAGACCTTTGGTTATCAGGTTTGAGGACTTGCTTTGTCGCCAGCTAGTCCACCCTGAGCATAAGATCGAAGTCTCGCTTAATCACTTAGAGGAGATCTCGTACTGCGTCTGGAAGGAGCAAGGCCTTATTTCTACTGATGCTGGAGCACAATTTTTTTTCTTTTTCCGCTTTACACATTATATTCTTCACTCTCTTCGCTCTCTTCAAGAATGACACAATTATGCTTTTCATATTCCATATTGTGTAGGTGGGGGGACCCTATAGTACTGATATGGTTCATAACACGTTAGACATGAGACGTCTGTACATAGAGTCCATGACACCAAGGGTTATAAGAGTGAAACACTATATAACTGATCTAGTATTTACCAGAGAAAGCTCCTCCGTTGGATAAAAAGTCTGATTCAAGTCATAAATAAACCCTTACTTTTTGGGGTATATATTGTCCCTTTATGGAAACAAAAACAGAGAAGAAAATGCAATTGGCAAGCTTTTGACAATCCACTTTCTTTTTTCTTTCTTCATTGACTCGCATAATAAAGAAAGCAACCATAACAGTTTTTCACCAGTTTAATCAATAGAATCGCTCCTAGTGTTCCTTAGAGGCTTTCAGAACTTCGACCACTCGTTCCCGACTACCCTCCCGCCATAATTTTATCTCTCATGCCTTATGTATAACCCACAGTGTTATTTATTATCACCTGCACAGCATGATTTTTAGCATCTAGTGTGGAATGTAGCAGACATGAGTCGCCTTGCATACCTGATTTTACAAGGGAATGTCCTTTTCTCCCCTTTTTTGAGATCTATCGATAAAACTGAGAAGTTTGGGAAAATATCTGTGAAAAGAGACATGATAAGGACTTACTCTTGTAGAGTATCCATACAACATACATACCTAGATATCAACCTTGGAAGTCTGGTTTGAGATTAGGTTATGGCAAGTGGGTCACTTCTGTGGGTCTAGAATCACGTGGTGCGAGATAACCTACATACATGCAGGAGGTATGTAGGTACCGACAATAACATGGGGCCACCACTTCTTGGTTGAATACATACAAGAATAGTTGACCGCGTTTGCGGCCTTTTGATCTCTTTTTAGTTGGTCTATTAAGATATATGTGGGGCATAACTAGGGATTGAAATTTCGAAACGCGAGTTCAAAGCTTGATGAATGTTGAATGTTCATTGAAAGCTACATACAATATGCCTGTACAACTCCATTCCCTAACCCGAAATCGAAGCCCTCAGCCCCAAACGTAATTCCATATCCGGAAGAGCAGAGAATCAAATGCGATAATGTGCCATGTTCTTCTTGATCTCGTCCACAATCTCCACGGCCTCATTGGTACTCCTTGCTTCAAAGTCATAGCGCTTCTGCTCGGTGGCATCATTGCCGCGCACGATCATCACCCGGAAGCTCTTGGGGTGCCGTCGGCTGACCTTGGATCCGATCACGTCGCTGAAGCTAATTGACCGAGTCTTACCACCAGACGCTGTTTTCCCCGTATCACCGGGCACGATATGCATGTAATCATTCTCAAACGTGAGGATGCGATGGTTGGATGCTGTGAAAGACATGGGCTGTTTGCGGAAGACGTGGTACCGGCGGTAATACCCGCCGAGGTGGTCTTGTTTCTGGGAAGATGAGGGCAACATGCGCTGGGCGCCCTTCTTGGCCTCCTTTTTGTTCTTCTTGGAGGCTGTCGGATCGGCGGTTTCCACCATCAAAGGCGCGTTTGGTGATGAGCTGCCTGGTGAGGTTCCGAGTGCGAGGGGCCCGCCGCCGAAGCGACGACGCACTAGATCAAGTTCTGTGATGCTGCCCAATGCTTCCACTGTGCGGTCAAGTGGTGCAATCGTGTTCGACCCCATCACCTTTAAGAGGTAGTTGCCCTTGTCCTGGCCCCATCGTTTACATACCGAGTCGAGGATCTCCGCGATATAGCTATCGGTAGATGTGTTGATGGTCATGATATGTGCGGAAGCCTCCATATTGATGAAACGAATCTTCAATGTCTTAGAAACACCAAGACGGGGAGTGGCATGTGAGATAGGTACCACGGGGCGGTCAGCAGGAGTAAGTGTGCTGTGGTTGAGCGCAGACGAGAATGGCTGGCCTAGGATAGGGTTTGCTCGGGCTGGTGTGGTTTGAGGGGTCTTTTTCTGTGCAGCGGGTTGAGTCCCTGGTACTGCAAGACTCGCCGGCTGATCTGCCACTTCTGACCCAATGCTTGAACTGAATTGTGGATATAGCCGTTCGTTCTCTTCAAACTCCGATTTCGATGCTTCAACCAGTGCGAATTCATCGTACGGTTTGCCCCTTGACCGTCCTCGGGACTTGGCAGATTGGTTGTTGTTTGAGGTGAAATCTGTCATTGGAAGTGTCCGCCCAAGCGCTGGGAAGTCATATTCGACTTCACCATCATCGACCATCCGTAGCGTCCATCGGTTCACAGTCAAATTTTCGCGATTAATTGGTGGGCCGCGAGCGTCCGCCGAGTATTTCCATAGGGCAAGACCAATCGTTTCAGCAACAGTCACTTGTGCAGGCTGTTCTGCAAGCTTAGACTCGCGTGTAAGTGGCAGATCCAGCGGGTCTTCGGGGTCGCTTGAAAAAGGAACGTAGATCTTCAAATACAACGAGTCCTCTTGACCCCGCCCAGAGAGCACCACGAATTTATCCACTGGATTGCTTGGTGCTCGCTTGCGGGACGTAAGCTGGCTGGTTAATAAGCTGACCGGCTGTATCATGCTGATAGGCCGTGGCGGGGGAAGATCTTGCAGTGCAGGAGCTGGAGTGCGATGCTTGCGCGGTGAATTATTCTGCGGTCCTGTGCCAGAGGGTAAATTGTTCATCATAGCCATGGGCGAGGACAAATTCAAACCGCCCGGCACACCTGCCAGCAGCAAGGAGCCAGATCCAGCCGTATTGTCGAAATCAGAGGAAATTGCAGACCCAACAGACTCAGCACCGGAGTCCTCGTCCTCGTCCTCTTCGTGAAGTTCTCCGAGGGCAAGGCTCTCTGCGCCTCGACTGCCGGTTCGCTCGCGCCGCCTGCGCGAATACTCGACGACCTGGTCACTCGCGGAGAATTGAACTTGTCCTTGTTTGTAGCCTTTAAGGTCGGTTTCGTTATCCGTCGACAGATCACTGCTAGTAGTTGTATCTCGACGGGGGCGTGGTTTTACTTGGCGATATTGATTTGCAATGCTTTGTGTTGACGCAGATGTGATCATGACATCTGGTCGTTCCGTCTGGTCTACTGAACGCCTTGGAGAGGAGTCGGCTCGATCTCGGCGGATGGGCATCTTGTCGAATTTGATCTGATCAACAGCACTGTTCTTTGTCAGATAGGTAATTAGAATACCACACAATAATTCACCAACCTGCCAACGTTGTCCCCATCGTCGTCGCTGTCATCACTCAGGTCGCTGCTATCGTCGTCCTCTGCTTCCGCTTGTCTCTGGACCTCTTGTTGCCTTTCCCGTCGAGATTTCTTCTTTCCGCTGCGTGCGTGATTTCGCCGCGCGGTCATGTCCGTGTGGCTCTTGCCGGTCACCATGCCACCATCATCCTCGCCGTCTTCCAGGCCGAGGCCTTGCAATTCGTGGCGCTGGGGTTTGGCATTTCGTTCTGCTAGCCTGTAATATTCGGACGAAACGTTCGCCGTTGTTGGAATCGGTGGGGAGTAAGTGCGCTTCAAGTGGGAGGAGCTGTGTGTGTTGGGGTACGCAGCAGCGGTTGACCAGCCCGCCGCGCGGAAGCCAGGTGTATTCAGGACGGAGTCGTTGACGTTGATAAGTCGGTCCCCGATTCCATCTTTGATTGTTGAGAGATATGAGGAGCGTAATTGCCAGATCGTAAAGCTATGCTCGGGTTAGCCCTTGGAGACCTTTCCGCGGCGATTTGAGCGGAATCGATCTGCAATTCCGGACGCGACTTACTCTTCATTGTGAAGAAGAGACATCTTCCTGGCTTTCACGAGGACATATGTAGTAACCTAAGGGTGTGCTGCGCAGTAGCGACCGGGGTCTGGATGATCACAGCAACTCGAGCTACAAGCGCATGCTCGGGGGAATAAAGAGAGGGATGAAAGCGAATGAGACTAGCTCATACAGGACCAGCCTGGAAAAACAGATCAAAAAGATAAAGATATCAAGAAAGGAGAGAAAGGAGAGTGGTATGCCAGAAGCAAGAAGAGAGGGAACTTCGGTGTTCCCGAAGATCATTCCCCGCCAAGGGGGTCCCCCTACCAGACTCTCAACTACATCGATGTACATACAACACTTGGCGAATCAATTATTGCTGCACAGGTAGTTATGCTTTCAATCTCGACCAATATTGAAATTCTGTTCGTAGAACATATTACACTACTAGTATATGCAACTCCGCCTCAATAACACCTAGTAAAGGGTGGCTGATGGTATGACAATAAGCATTGGGATTCAAATAATCGCACAAGACTAAAAGGGTTGAAAACATGTATCCTCGAGGTTGTACCTAGAAAGAAAACACAACGCTTTCTCCAATATCAGTGAACTGACTGGCTGCCGCCAATGCCTCCTTCCATTGATCTAGACCGAATTCGCCGACAACGTAGCATCCGTCCTCTTCTCTCAGGCGAAGATTGCCCTTCTCTACCATCTTGATCAGTGCAAGAACATCCTTTCGCTCATACATCCAGTTTCCCTTCAATGTGATATTGCAACGCGTGACAAAGACATTTGGGATTTCAAGGTCCTGATATGCACCCATCAGACTCACCCGGCCTCCAGGCCTGAGCGACATAATGCCGGATTTGAGATGGAAAGATCCTCGGGCTCCTGGAGGGGAAATATCCAGGAACGCATCCATCGGTCCGAACGTTTTAATGTTGTGGACATCTATTGTACAGTCACCTGTCCAGGTTATCGTGGAGATCCTTTCGCAAGTACCGTTGCGAGTGATTGATAGGATCCGATTGAGACGCACGAGCTTAGCATCATCGTAAGACCAAGCTACAACCTTTGCACCTGATATTCGGTTAGCCAAAACGCCTCAGCATCCAGGGATGTCTTGGGTAGCGAAGAAATATATTACCCATAGCCAAAGCTACCATGCAAGCAGCAACGCCGTTTGTAGAAGTGGCCGGAGAAATCAACACCGTTTCACCGGGTTTCAAATCAATGCTAGTGAGTCCACCGAAAGGCCTGAGAAATGTGGCAATCACACAAAGTTGTTCTGGGGTATATGCAAAGCCCCATTTTCTCGGATCTCCCATCAACTTAGCCTCATCCAATGGATAGCAGTTCTCAAGTGGTGCCCTCATGAACTCCGCATATGAGCCATCTGCGAAGCCGCTGGAGGCTATGATTTCCACGCTATGGGGGTCAAATCCATGATATACAGGATTGGAAAATCGAATGGTCTCTGGGCTATCCCTTCCTTTCATGACTGAGTCAAAGAAGACTAGTTGACCAACCTTCAAAGTGGTCGCATCGTCACCGACCTGGCTCACACGAGCAATTGCACTTGAACCGGGAATAAATGGCTTTTCATGAGGAGATCTCCCATGGCTGTAAAACTCAAAGCTAAGCTTGCTGTATGGGTGGAGCGGCGTTGCGAGCATACGCAAAAGAACACTTCCTGGAAGCAGAGACGGGATATGAACTTCTTCGACTTGTGGTTCCGTAAATGGAGCAGGTCTAAGCACGAGAGCATGATGCGTGGTTTGAACCTTCGGAAGGAGTGTTCTGTGCGGGGTATTTAGACCCTTAGTATCCAGAGAACCTGTAGAAAGACAGTTGAGTGTTTATATTCGTGATGAGCGTGAATATACGTACTCAGTGTGACATCGTCAGAGCCATCAGATCCAGAGACAACGGTCATCTTGGCTGCAGGAGGAGATCCACACCGAACAAGATTCGAGATAGCAAAAGCTGGGATGAAAGAGATGTAAGAGGTTGGTAGAGCAAAAGAGCGTGGCACTCGCGAGGGGACAGGCTTAGTGGAGAAGGAGTGAGAAAAGAAAAGAAATCCGAAGACACGTCAAGATGTAAACAACAATTAAATTGGGGTGCTTAGAGATATGAGATTGAAATGCACCAACACCGTTAGACCGCAGGCTTCTTCACAAAAGGATGATATGTTACAAAAATGATAATCTCTCAAGCCTTAGCCTTAGCCCTACTCTTACGAGCCTTTTTCGGCTTTTCCTCATCAGCATCAACTTCATCATCGGCCTTCTTCGCTTTCTTGCCCTTGGCCGGCGCCTTCTTTTTCTTGGGCAAGCTCACATACTTGTCCTTCTTCAGATCAAGTTCTTCCTCATCCTCGTTCTTGATCTCTTCAACAACTTCTTCTTCATCAGATGCTTCAATGGCATCTTCAATATCAGGTCTCTCCTTCTTTGCCTGCTTAGGTGCCACGACATTGCTGGCCTTCATGAATGGCATGGGGTGCGAACGCGAATTGTACAGACGCGTGAAGGTAGCTTTGGTCTGTGTCTCAAGTTTGATCTTAGACTCGTCCATTGGGCCGAGCCCTAGTTCAAGCATAGAATCGAAGTCCTCGCGAGTAAGATAATATTCATCCATGAGATCAATGACCGAGTCAACACAGTCCTTGCCTTCGTCCATCATCCGGCGTATTATCTTCTCCTGGAGCAAGGGCATGTACTGCTGACGGATCTCGTCGCGGTTACCTGAGGTACGAAGACGCATGTGGCCCTGTAATTCCTTGACATATCGAGATAGTTTGCCTGAAGAATAAATTAGTTAGAAAGTGTATACACCACAATGGGTGGACAAGACATACCATGTTTGCTGTTGTTGCCCAGCCAGCTAGTAAAGGCAGGCCGCTCATTCATGTTTCCGTACTGGAAGCTGGCTGGCCGCACAAAGCTGAAGATCGCATGGGTGGGCATAAGACTCCATTGCTGCTGGGTACCGTGGATCATGCGGTCGACGAGGTCACCGTCACTGATACTCGAGGCGGCATTATCCAGCAATTCAAGCGACTTCAATCGTTGTTCCTGGCCGTGATATTTGCCCGCAAGAGCGGGTTTGGTCTTGAGGTAGTTCTCCTGAAGCATTAGGTAACTAAACTCGTGGTCATTAAAGTAAAGCTCGACCTTGTCGTTCAGAGTAGAAGTGGAACTCGGGGAAAACATCTGGGCGCTAAGAATCTTCCCGACAATATCCCACGGCTTGAGGATGATATTCTTCTCCCATGACTTCGACATCTGCTTGCCTTCGTCGTAACTGAGACCCTTCTGATCCAGCCTTGCAGTGGAAAGCATGTTAATGACCTGGCGAATATCGGCATGTGTTCCTTCAATGAGGCCGTCGAGCACAGGAGGCGGAATCTTGAGGCCTTCTCGGAAACAAATAGTGGAGAGTCTTGCCCGAATTTGCTCAGCAGTTGGGCGTCTGAATGGCACGTCGTAGGTTATGAAGTCGAAAGGTTTCATCTTTTGAAGCTTTCGCTCATTGCAGATAAGGATGATTGGAATCTTGGTCTTCTTGACAATTGCTGCCACGGCTCCCACACCTCCACGGTCACCGGCAGACATGCCATCAACCTCATCCATGATGAGGACGAGCTTTTTCTTTTCACTCTCCACTTGCTTGCCTTGTCCGGCGAAATATCCTTGCAACGATGTTGTATCTAAGACGCCCAAGGTAGAGCTCTCGACAAGCTTCTTACTTCGGGTATCACTGGCGTTGGTCTCCACGACATCGAATCCTTCCAGCTTCGCCACGAGATGGGCTGCTGTAGTTTTGCCGATTCCCGGGGGACCATGGATAATGACGGCACGATATGTCCCCGAGCCGTCTTTACCACCCTTTTTGAAATCGGCCTGAGCATTGACATGCCAGTTCCGCAACCAGCTCTGAATCTTTTCCACAGCACCTTTATTGCCACATATCATACTGGTCGATGTCGGGGCATACTTCGTGGTCCAGAGATCACCGGATGATGCGGGCTGTGAGCTTGGTGGCGTCTGAGACGCGGTAGCGGCGGTCTTGGGTCCTTGAGCCGCGGTTGTCTTTCGCTTTTGCTCTTCTCGTTTCTTCTCTTCTGCGTCGATTTCGGCCGCCATGGCACGGACCTTGGCCTCGTCGGCTTTCAGCTTCTCGGCGTATTTCTCAGCTGCCTTTCCATCACCGCCGTTGGCAGGCAGTCGTCGAATCAATTCAAAGAGACCTTCCTCGTTGATGGTCTTGATCTTGTGCTTCGCAATAGTCTCGAGCTTCTTTGGGCCGGCATCAGATCCGAGGACCACATAGTTCGTTTTAGAACTAGGAGCCCCCACAACTTTGCCTCCATACTTCTTCACCAATTGCGCACCCTCTTCGCGACCGAGGGATTCCAGAACACCGGTGAAAACAAACGCCAAACCAGCAAGGCAGTTTTCTTGACCAACGGGCATTTCCTTAGTCCCAGTCATTGCCGGGTCCCGGCTTTGTTGTGCTCCAAATTTGAATTTCTTGGGCTCTCCCTTAGGAGGTTCTGGGGCGTCAATGGTAGGAATGCTGTCGAAGATATCTTGGAGCTCTTTGCTCTCTATTTTGTCCTCCTTTTTGGCCTTTTTAGGGCTAGCCTTTTGCTTCTTCGCAGCCGGTGATGCCGCGGCCTTAGACTTTGGGGCTGCCTTTTTCGTTTCATTTTTAGGTTCTTGGTAGTCCCCATCTTCATCCTCGTCGATGAGAGCTTCAGATTTGCGCTTGCGGCCAGGTCGAGCCTTCGGGACAGGAATCTTGGGGAGATCTTCCATGACTACATCATCCTCATCATCGCGAGAAGAAGGCTTCTTCTGTGTCCTCTTCGCTGCTGCGGCGACTGGCTTCACTTCGAGCATTTCGAAGTCACTGTCCTCATCGCTATCATCCCCAGCCACATAAGCGTCGTCTCCTTTACCGGCCTTTCCGTATTCAGTTGCAAAAATGTCATCGGCGCCGAGGTGTTCATCCTCAATGATGTTTTTGGCTTGCTTTGTTGATCCCCGGGTTGCGGTTCGTCCTTTGATTGCAGGTTCTTCGGCAGCCTTTTTCGGTTTGGAGCTTTCGGCAACAATCTTGGCTTTATCGGGCCGAGCTTGCTCGGTCGTTTTGGCAGGTCGTGTCTTCTTCTTACTGGAGGCGAAATAGTCGGAGGTAGTTGTAGGTTCTTCCTTAGTCTCTTCCGGCTTTCTGTAAAGAAAGTTCATCAGTCAAATGATAAGAGACATTTCAATCCAGTGATGGACATACGGTTGACTCTTGGACTTCGCTTTGGCGGGTGCTTTGGTAGGTGCTACATCTTCTTCTTCGTCACTGTCATCCACAACTTTCCTGCTGCCTGTTCTCGCGTTAGACTGGTGGTGCGCGAGTATGAATTATGGAGGACATACGTCTCTTTCTTGTGGCAGAGGAGTCCTGCATTGTAGACTTCGAGGTTAGATTGTAATCTTGAGCGATCCAAATGATGCAGGCCACATGAAGTGACGACGACCTCCTTTCACGAGCAAGGCACTAGCTTACCTCTTTTTTGGCCGCGGGCTTCGCGGCGGCGTCGCTGGAGCCTTGACTTGACTTGCCGCCAAAGAAATTCCGGATATCCATAGTGGGCTTCTCAGTCACACAGATTTTGGTACAGGATAGTAGCTGGAGACTCGCTTCAAGACAAATTGAGCTCTTGCTACAATCGTTTGGTAGATCGCGAACGACGCGCCACACTCCCGGGAGACGTGACTGGCTGACGTAAGGCAGCACTTTCTTCCATTTTAGGACTAGTGTAAATAAAGCAGGTACAGCTGAGCTGTGCAACAAGGGAACCTTCCGAGGTTGGAACTATAACAAACACGAAAGGAGCATATTATTTGCCTAACTCATCAAAAAATACAGGAATGTGTTGAGTATAATATTACTAGGGTAAGAGGGGCCACTAAGTACGTTTATAAAATCCTAGGAAAGGGCAAGAAGATCATCATCCAGACTTTGAACATACTAGATATGTACTATATAATTTTAATTACTATATCGTACAGCAAAGACTCTCTCTCATAGTATAATTGTGTATATAAGACCAATAAGGTGCTATTGAGAGCTACTCTAGAACCAAAGATGCTGTGACCAAAACTGATGCCTAATTTCTAAGGCAGAAATAGAGAAGCAGGAGTAATGTCACGTGTATACCACCTTTCTACTTCGGGACTAGTGCACATCATCGAAAAGTGCCGGAGTAACGAAGCCTTTCGCAACATTGGTATATCTCGCCGTCTCCCTCCTCACAATGGGTCCACAGATCAAGATGTTTGCTGGACCGCTCTCCGCCTGCACACGGCCAACTCGTACGAGCCATTCAATTCCCAGGAAATCCATTCGGCCGAAGACTAACAGTGCGACACAGTGTCGGGACCGCTGGCCACCTTTTCTCTATCACGATGCTTCTCTACCACCTCGCCCGCCCTTGATTGGCTGACCCCGAAATTCCAAGAAAAATCCAAATCCCCCAAGGGTCGCCCTCACGTCGCTACCGGCGGATCCACCCGCGGAACAACAGTCGTATGGGGAGACTTCGGTCTGCGCATGAAAGACCACGACCGCCGCATGCCCGCATCGGCGTTGAAGATCGCTGAAGAGACTATCAAGCGACGACTACGAGGAATGAACTATAAGCTGTACAAGCGTGTCAGCGCTAACATTGGTGTCTACACCAAGGGTAACGAGCAGCGTATGGGTAAGGGTAAGGGTAAGTTCGACTACTGGACTGTCCGACTGCCCGTGAGCCGAATCGTCTTTGAATTGAAGGGAGATGTCCACGAGAAGATTGCCCGCGAGGCTTTCAGATTGGCGGGCCACAAATTGCCAGGTAGGTTATGCATTCTCTACATGTACTATTTTGGGTACGAAAGATGCTCATTCTCATCCATTAGGTCTCTGGGAATTCGTCAACAAGGATGACCCGCCCGTTGTTGGTATCACAAAGCTCGGAAACGGTGTCACTCTCGAGTCTCTCAAGCGCGCGCGCAGAAACCCGCCTCTTGGTACCAATGACCTCGCCTCACCTCCGAAGAGCGCCTCCTCCAGCTCCGACCCTACCCAATAAACTGTCACTTCCTGCATGATACCGTTTTCTCTTTTTTCATCGGTCATGTCTTTTGCTTCTGTCGTCTGCGCCGACTAAGCCCCGACACCAGACCCAGGCCCATACCCCTGTTGTCTGCGGGCCTTGGCCACGGCATCATCCTCGTCACGTTTCGTATCTTTTGTACATTATCATCAGCTGTTTGCGTCTCTTTAGGAGCCATCGAGGCACGGGTTCCTCGTCTGAATCTTTTGTCTTGATGCTAGGAGTTTAGACAAGGAAAATATATTCAGCATTTACCTTTTTTACCAGAGTCAGCGAATGCTCCCATGCCCAGCTTCTGGGCCTGGAAATCCTCGTCAATGCTGGGTACTGGGCTATGTGTTCCTAGACCGGGGCTCACTTCGCTTATAGTGTGCTTCATGCCACCTTGTAAGATGTCAGTCATTGCAATAGTGCGCTCAGAATTATCCAAGGAACCGACACACTCCCCAGTTGTCCGGTCTGCTTTGGGGGGGTCTTGGTGAATTCCCTGATGGACTCATATCTGTACCCTATATATTAGCGAACAGCACTTGCAAGAGGTGATCTTGATTTAGTCCATACTGAGTGCTCTCTCCGCCAGGTTCCATATCAATAAGTCGGGGGTCGGACATTTTGGTTCTGTTCGTGTGGGACAGCAGTATAATGATGAGACAATGATAGAGACGGTGCTATAAAGATACAGCAAAGAGTCCTGATCAATAAATAAAAGCTATTCCGATGTTCCCAGTGGGTGGGTGGTCCAGTTTATGGATGACGGGGATGTGATGACGTATGTTAATAGGACACTCTGGTCTACACAATCCGGGATTTGATATCATGGTATCAAATAGAAGTTACCCAGAATCAAACACTCCTATAATACGGACACATCTTCACCATCGAAGTACATATATAGCTAAGAGTTTAAGAGGTTGGTGTATGCAAAGATCTTTCCACTGCCTCAAGAGATAGTACACAATCACAAATGATATAACGCCAGAATCCTTCTTAGCAAATGCCTCCATGCGCCTATGAAAAGTGAAAATAAATCAGGTACATGGAATATTCGAAAAGTCTGATTCTGCTTAATAGCAGACCGTAACTTCCTAGCTCCCATGCTCACTGAAACCCACCTTAGTGTCCAAATCGTCATTCGTCCATTGTCTTAGGTTACTGGTAGTGAGTAATTAAAAGTCCATGCCCATTAGGTAACTAGTAGATCATTAGTTATGTATCTCTTCTGACCTCTGAAATTATCCAGGGAAAGCATACCTTTCATAGATGCGCATGAACTTGGCCACGAAGGCTTCGAGATGAAAGATTACTTTCTGCATTGAATATCTCATTAGCACTTGAATTGATGAAAATGACAATCATCAATGACTTACACTTCCCAACTTGATGCGGTGCTCATAGAAGGCAGACCACTTGATAACCTCTGGCTTCAGTGCATCATCAACCCGTGCGACTAGCTTGAATGTCAAGGTCTGTTGCCAACAATTAGTATCTGGAGCATGTTCATTGCGAATACGAATACACACCTTCAGAATGGTCGTCGGTGGGATGCAATGGGTTAAAAGATCATAAAGACGTGCGCGAACCTGCAACAGGCGAGCCGGTGAACGTTCAGCCAAAATCTCATCAGCCGTGAGGGTAACAAGGGCTTCCCAGTCCGGGGGCGGGATGAGCGTGTTGTCCGTAACTTTTTCACTAGTTTTTAAAAATGTAAGCCTCTAAATGCAGGCCAATAGGAATCGAAATGGAAACTCACTTTTGCGCATAAATCGACTCGAACATGAGCAGTGCACGACGCAGGTTGCGACCACTCTCCTTTGCAATTCTCTTGTTAAGCACCTCGGACTCAGTCCATCCTTCTTTTTTCCCTGCAAGATGGAGCGCAGAGCAAATGTCGTTTTCAGTAGGCGCTGCAACCCTGACCAGCAGGGTTCGAGACCGAATCGGCGCAATGATGTTGGACGTACTGTTGGCTAGAAGAATCAATCGGAGATTAGGACTGTATTTCTCCATAGTCCGTCTGAGGGCTGCTTGGGCATCGCGTGTGAGGTGGTCGGCTTCGTTGATCACGACGACCTTGAACCGCTGCTTCGCGCCGAGATCCACTTGTTGTGTCTGCGCAACCTCTTTGAGTAATTCCTGGACGACTACTCGGTCATAGTTTCCAACGTCTGCAGGTGTAATCTCAAGATGGTACACCGACGAGACAATGTTGAATTCTAGCTTTCGGTTGCTTGTCGTTTGGAAGACTCTGGCGTCAATCTTGATCTTCTCGACACCGGGGCCGTACAGTTCTTTTAGTGTCGCAATTATCCGTGTTTTCTTGCCAGCACCAGAAGGTCCGTAGACTAGTAAATGGGGGAAATCTCCGCTTCGTGCCTATCAAGGGTACTTTTTGTTAAAATGGTATTCATGTTCCGCGGCTCAGGGTTTCTTACCAGTGACCGCAGACGATCAGAGAGCTCTGGGTGATACGAGAGAGCATCAAGATTGCGTGGCCGTAGCTTGTCCACAAGAAGAGCCATTTTAAAAACTCAGTAGAACTGTTGGGAGGATTGAGGAATTAAGGTGCTTGTGGTTTTTCGATAAAAGATGCGGACTGGAGAACGCGTCCAGACACGCGCCTAATTAATCACTGGTCCGTGCACACTCCCACTATATGAATGGATGCAGCGAAGGGCATCGAGAAAATTATTCCAAAAATTGTACAATTACAAGAATAGTCGCCGTATAAGGTATTTTTAGCTGGCCTCTCTGAATGTCTTTTTAAATTTCTTTTTTTTGTAGATACTTTGCCCGCCTTCTTTAGTTTCATACTGGCGGCAGAAGAGGTGGGAAAGGGTTAAATCAATTTTTCTATGTATAACCTTTGACATATGAATAAATTCAATGATATATACAGCTAGATGATTTTCTAGGCATTTGGCAGCCTTCCGCCAAACTCCGAGATGTATAGTACATGCAAAATTTGCTTTGAGAGATGAGATGAATGTGAACAAGCCGAAAACAACACCACGCATGTTTCTTTGTTCACTGTTGAATGTCCATGTCTATGCGAGTCCACAAAATTGAAATACAGTACCCCAATGCGCCCTTGATATGAGCTTCTTATGAGGAGATTGGCTTCAGAACCCCATTGTCATCATATTTCGCCTCTGCTTCAGGTTAGATCAGGCCATAAAAACAACGAATAAGCACAAAACTTACTGAAGAAGGTATATGACAGGGTGATAGTATCAATACCCTGCATGTTAGGATCGGTAGCAAAGTCAGGATCAATGAAGAAGAAAACGGGCATATCCACCGACTCTCCCGCATTGAGCTTCTGCTCCTCGAAGCAGAAGCATTGGATCTTGCTAAAGTATGGCGCAACCTGTCCTGGAGTGACACTGTATGTTGCGACTCCAATAATGTCTTGCGGGCCCTTATTGGTTGCGGTATAGAATGCCAGCGCCGTCTCGCCGGGCAGCACTCGAACCTCGCGCTGTTGGGGAGTAAACTTCCAAGGAAGAACATCCGATACCGAGCCGTTGAATGTGATACGTAGACGACGAGAGTCTGTCACTGGTGTCACACGTGCAGAGGTATCGCCGTCGCCGACTCGGTGGGTGAGGATGGGCTGACCACCCCAACCGGTTTGTTGGCAGATCTGCAATTGAAATCAGAATAAGATTCCGTTTAAGATGTCCTTGAGATGGATTGAGAGCTTGTCATACCATTTTGTAAAGAGGGACAGATCCATATGCAAGGGCAACCGTTCCGAGGATCATACTGATGGTATAGTACCTGATCAGGGACTTCGTTAGCAGAAGGATTCCCTCAAGTACTGGTTCAATGGCAGCTCACATTGTAGATGTATTGCGTTTTTGCGATTCTGGGGTATTGAAAGGCGCTGCAGATGAATTGCGTTGTTCATGAAGCAGGAAATTCCTCGAGAAATATCTCCGCTCTACCTCAAAGACGCTCTTCCGGAGATAGATTGAGCGCTGGGGGATCTTCCCCGTCAGCGCAGAGCGCCCCAGCGAGGGGAGTAATCGTGAAAACATGGTTCTATGACTTCAATGGGATTGGATGTTGAGTTGCATGAGATCCAGCGGACCCCCAACACGTGATGGCCCTGATTCCACGGCTTATCGATAAGCCCTACCTAAGCTTCGGGGTCACGTTACATCTAAACGGCGAGTAGCATTGAGACAATGAGGTTGGATATGTGTATCTTGAATCGATTCATGAATTGTTAACTAAGATTGGTTGAATCCTAATTGTCTCAAGTCGAAAGGTCAAAGCGCACCGTTCCGGCTGCCCAGCCTGCAGATGATCAGCGACTCATTTACCAGTATAAAAGTAGAAGACCCCGATGCTGTTGGTGTGAAGATAGTATTCGCCTTGTACTAATGCATAAACTAATAGTGCCATTAGGCTTAAAACATTTGAATGGATATACACGTAAGAATGCAACATTCATAAAAAAGAATAATACAGGGTAATGTCACCCAGAAGTCAGACCCGAAGTCTAAAATAACCAATAACTAATACAACCGTTTGGTGCTTTCCAAGGTTCGAAGTATTTCACTGAAGCGAAGTCTAGTTCAACACATTCGATGTGATGCGACCAAATACTCCGCGTACCGTGCTAGGTCGCTCGCGGAGGCAAGTGATAAGAATAGCAGCGCTAACAGCAAATGCAACGCGCTCTCGGGATTGATACTGGGAAACATCAACACGCGTCAGCATCTCGTGATTGTTTTGGAACCTGCCACAGGATAATTTGGAGGCACTGAGAAGGGGGTGGAGGGGATGTGGGTGTAACCCTTTTGTGGACAGAGGATGCGAGGGTCCGATACATACCTTTTTATCATACAACCGTGGCAAAACCGTGGCGGCAGCCCGGGGTGCCACAAATAGCGCCAACTCCTGTCTCTTCCGCGTCTTTTCAACCAATATACTCCAGCCACACATGAGACATCCCGCACCGACACAAAGCCCAGAGTCCCACATCATCGGAGTGACAGTCTTCGCATCGAAGATCTTGGGGCCAAGTCGTGTCCGAGCGAGACAGACGCTGTAGTAAAATAAGCTCACAAAAGATGCAAGGAAGGCAGATGATTGTGCTGCATCAAAAAGGGCCCGACGGAGGGCAGTTGCAGATTTCATCCTGCGCAGACGGAAAACAATCTGTAGGGGTATATAGGTTGCACAGGCAAATTTGAAGGTTTTGGCAAATCGATACAATGCGTGTTTCTCACAACTGGGGCCACAACCCATGTGAACCATTTCACAAGGGATCGGGGCCACTTTTGCTGGGTCTCCCCACACCTCTGGCCAGTTGTAGTCTTTGCACATCGACTGGAGAAGAGGTGCCTGGCCTGTATCCTTTCCATAAACGAAGACTCCTCGTCGAACACGGCGCAAGGCTTCAATTAAACGTGAATCGACCTGAGCAGCTTCCCCGATCCACTTCTCGTAGGTTCTAGGCAGTCTTTCAGGGAGATAAAACCAAGCCCACATGACCACAGCGGCACTCATAGCAAAGACAGTTGCGTCGGCGAAGCCAGGGATAAGAGATTCGACAGTCGTCCAGCGATTCTGGGCCCGGCGACGACGGGACCAGCGACCCCATGCAGCACACGCGACCGCGTCAACGGCTCTTGTGACCATGTAGATGGTGAGGTCCATTGTCCTCCCTGCTAACTCCGGGCGGTGATGCTCCAGCGGATTGGTTATGGCCTGACCAGGGTCTTTCCCCTGGTCTGTGGAGTTCCGGATAGCTCTGACATTTTCTATTGGCAGACAGATGCGGTTTCTGTTCAGCAGTTGAAAACTAAACCATCCAGATAGAAAAGTTATGACGAATCTAATTAAGCGGTCGAGCCCTTGTGAGATCTGAACGTCACGTTTGGAAAGCCCTGCCGTGACCAATGCACACAGACGATACAATCCTATTGGTAGCAGGGTTGAACCACCGACCAGGGAAGCACACACTGTTGGAAAACTGTTCAGACGCAAAGGACCAGTCAAGACTTTAGCTAGCTATTCAAATCGAGGTCAGCTATAGCACTTCATTTGCGCGATAGACCGACGAAAACGGTGGCATGATAAGTCGCGATAACAGGGCTATGCTGAGGTGATGTCACGGCGTACCTCTTGAAGTTTCTGTTGCGTAGTCCAGTCCTTATTGCGCAATTGGCGTACATAAGACACCAATTTTGGGGTGACGGAAGACAGGTACCCGAGCGCGTAGGCGCGAAGAAGGCTACAGTCACAATCAGCGAGGGCTCTTCAGATCACACAGTTGCACTAAGCCACAAGGGTAACAGATCGCATGGACTCACGGCTTGAATACCCGGACGTTGTCCCTTCCATGGTGTCTCCGGAGTGCAGGTTCCATGCTGCCGGAAACCTTCATGTCATGATCCGTCGGGAGGTGTCAACATCACAGTTCCCCGAACTAATCGGCGACGAGGGGTCAACCAACTGTAAACTCTGATGGGGTTCACAAGATTCTCTCCGCCAATCAGAAAACCAGAAGGTATAAGAGCTCAATATATTTTATCCGTGGGTGACCTACAATTGCACCTCCCGAAAATTGGGTAGTATTCTCCGACAGAGGGAAATTGACACTTGCAAGATCGTTTTCTGGACTATGTATCGACCGTGGATCCCGTGTAATGGGCCTGTTGAGAGAGACTTGGTGTGCCTCGGTCCCTACCCAAGTGGGAAATGCAGAAAAGCCCCCGCAAACAAGATCCAAATCCAAACTTAGGGGGGGGGGAACCTATTCAGAGAAGACAGAGGACGATCATCCGAAGCAATGGGCCCTTTCGGAGCAAAATAATCGGGATTGCGGGGCTAAACAAGGCGAATGTTTTAATTAAAAACCCGTAAATGGAGGACGATCCCAGGAGAACAATCCAAAACGGGGAGATGAACCGCACTGACCCAATTAATTTTTTAAATTCCCCTTGCAAGATAGAAACGAGAGAGAAAGAGATATATTAAAGTGTAATGTATCAATGTATTCCGAATGTACACCGGAATCAAGTCGTAACAAAGGGTACCTGCAGTGTACTTGCAGCATTGAAGACAAGTCGGCCCAGATGTCTGCTTTAAGGGCCTCGGGAAGGGTTCTCCGGGAGTCTACAGCTCTCCCCCAGAAACGTATTAAATACCGGGGGTACATTTTAAGCCACAGCGGAGCAACTGTAATTTTGGTAATTTTGGTACTGTTACGTCACGCGCTCAAATTTTTGCATGTGATCAGGTCGCGGCCGAAGAGGACGATTGCTTTTGATGCGAAACTCTCCACGTATTCTTCTACAGGACGAATCTCTCTTGCTTTTGGACATTCTCTCGATTCTCTTCTTATTTCTTTCTCTCTTTACACCTCTACCTGACCATCTTGTTCTTATTCTCATTGCGCCGAACCGAACCGGTTCCTTATCGAGTCGCATTATCAACCCTGGAGAACCCCGTGGCCTTAATCTGCCCCCCGCGTTCCTATTTTGTGGAGTCAAATCTTCATTATCACCTTGATCGCATACTACTTGGGTCTAAGGCATGACAGTATTGCCTTGGTCCGCGCTACTCTTAGCATCAGAGTAACAACCACTTTGCTTGACCGACATTCGGGCATACAATCCCTTCTGATATTGAACCACTCTTCACTATGAATGGACATGGGACTGAAGTTCGAACTGGGCGCACATCCCCTCCAGCTGCTCCGTTTGGATGTGAGTTGCCACAGGCATTATTTTGTACTGTGCCCTCTCTAACCCGATTCCAGACTCCTTTCTCTCCCCCATGGATACCCCATTTGCACCGGCACCTGCTCTCCCTCCAGGGCCTTCTCTTCTTGATGATAACGAATCCAACATGCTTGACAACTTCTTCACTACCATGAACGCAAACCACTTTACGAATGATTTTTGGATGCGACAAGAACATAAATCCGGGGCCCCCAACTTTGACTGGTCCGGTGAGCTGCCACCCAATTTCGAGGGGTCAACCACGTCCCTATCACAGCCTTCATTTCAGCAGCATGGGCTAGGCAAAACAGCCGGAGGAATGATGACAGACAACCCTACAAGCTCGGATATATTCGCCGCAGCCTCCATGCTCTACCACAGTGGTCTAAGCGGATCAGAGTTAGGATCCACGTTAGCACATCAGAATTTTGCGGGACAGCCTCTCCCCGCCCTTGGGATACAACGAAAAAACAATTCACATACTGGCAGTACTGCACATGGTTCAACTTCATCTCCACCCCGGGCGGATGTACCGATTGGATATCATACCTCGGAAATGTTCTTTGACGTCCGTGACCCCATTCCCGCAGACCAACATCCGTCAAGAAAGACTCGCAGTTTGCGATGGGGCTCAGATGCCAGTTTCATGGACCAAGGCTATCTTCGCCCCCCTGACCAGCCGGACGAGGAGCAGCGGACAAATGATCTGCTCGATCATCTCGGATGTTTTGAACCACAAAGCAGTGCAGCAAACACACGAGCACCTAGTCCAGAACGCATTATTGGGCCTCCCCCTCAAGGCCCCGCCTTCCGAAGCGGTGCTGTCCTGGACGAGAACTTACATCCCCGGAAACGGTCAAGGGCCCTGAAAGAGGAAGGCGACGAATACTCCGATGACGATGATGCACGACCTCACTCAAGAAAATCTAGAGGATCTATCAGCAAGGGCCGACGGGCATCAACAGATATGTCTCGCAAAGCCCGACTACAGCCAGGATCTAAAGCTGCACGAGAGAATCTTACAGAAGAGCAAAAGCGGACCAACCACATTCTTTCGGAACAGAAACGCCGAAATCTCATTCGTCAAGGCTTCGAAGACTTGTGCACACTAGTCCCTGCGCTCAGAGGCGGTGGGTTCAGCAAAAGCGCAATGCTCACTGGAGCCGCTGACTGGCTTGAAGACCTTCTCCATGGGAATGACATACTTCAAAGCCAATTGCATGACTTGAAGGGCATCAATGGCTTGGTTATGCCACGTTGATACCCTCTGTGACACGATCACAACGTTAATATGATCTCATGGATAGCCCCTGCCTCTTTTCTTGGCGGGATTGTAAGCGTTTCAGCGGGTGGACAGTTTTGTGTATGCACACCGGCGAGTTGGCATTTCATCTTCGGAAATCCCGGCGACAAGATACCTTTTTTATTATTTCTTTCTCTGCATACTCCTTCTTCGCCGTCTCTTCCCCCTCATCTAACCGCTGCAGGTGATACAAGTCACCTTTTGGGTGGTTCTCGGCAAATATCGATACCCTAGTGCATAACTCGAAAAGCCTGTATTGGCAGCACATAGTTTGAGTATTCAAATGTTTTTTTTAAAAAAAAAAATGCTTTGGTTCAAATACTAAGATATAGGTTTCTACGTAGCTCAGTAATTAGTTAATATCGAGAATATGGATGAGGCATTGCCATGCGAAAGTATGATAGGTACGCCATTTAGTCGTGGATGTACTACAATTTGACTTTTCAAGAACAGACTTAGATTCTAATTTAGTTTTCAATTTCAATACTAGTATGTATAAATATACGAACATGTTAATAAAGGCCAAGAATACCAAGATTTCGGGGAATGCTGCTAGTATCTCCATGTTTTTGTCTCCACCGCTCTGTTTTGCCTGCATGTGAAGGCGCGTCGACGTAACCTTAATTCTGGACCTCGACAGACCTAACACCCTCAACTCACCATGCCTCCAAAGCGAAAACACACGGGTGACGATGCCCCGCAGGAGGACGACTCCAAGCGCTACGCCTATCTCAAACCTCACGTCCGCCGCGTCCCAGAGAAGACCATTAAGTCGAAATGGACCCCTCTACCAGAACCCGTCCAGGAAAAGGTCAAGGACATGTTCCACTCCCTCGAGCGACCGGTGATAATGCGGAATCAAAATGAACGCAAACGGATCGAGGCGCAGGGCGCCGTGCAAGCGGTCGTGCGAAAGTAGGGCGCCATGCTCTGTCTGGTAGCTTCCGGAGAGCTATTAGTGTATCAGGAGATTATGATACTAACAGTATGCTCCGCATTGTTTTAGTTTAGGCAAACGACTCCCGCGAATGCCGTTTCCACCCATAACGAAGGAATCCAACTTCGACTACGAATCTGCGCTAAATGAGCACGTATGTGACCCTCTACGATTGTCAACAAGAAGTCCATACTGATTACAATTTTAGCGCTCGCTCGAGGCCCACTTGGCTACGATGAACGATAGCGTCGATCTACTGAAAGCTGAGATTGCCAAAGAAGAAGCGCTCCTTGCTAGGGAGACAAAGTCACTCCAAGAAATGGACAAAAATGCCAAACGGGCCGAGGCTGAAAGGAAACGACAGACTAAGAATGTATGCAGCAAACACAATTTGCTTCCAAGTGTGATTGGCTAATACTTTACGACCGTAGGAACACCCTGTGCTCCGGCAGTTGGATGCACTTCCTCAAACCGAGGGTTCTGGCTCCTCTGGGTTCATGCTTCTTGGCGCAAAAGATAGCCAAGTGACACTAGATGAGGTATGCACTGCTTTTGAACCACACGTGGTTGCTCTGCCAACTTACCATTGTGTTTGATTTTAGTTGGAGACCGACCCCGAAGTCCAAGGACTCATGAAGCAACTGCATGGCCATCTTCAATCTATGCAAAGCAACACCGCCCCCTTCGCAGGACTCGGAGATGCCATCACTCGTTCACAAGCTGCCTTAGATCTATACTCAATGCCAAACGACTGATCGTCCCACTAGACATCACCACGCCACACCACACCATACAAGCCACCAATCTCGGCATTTCAATGCTTATGATTGACACATGAAGGGCCTCGGACCCAGTGTATGCGCGCTTATTAAAAACGCAAACCAAGTACCGGCCGACCTTGGCGACCAGGAATCACATCGGCAATCCTTGTCGCGTGCTCGAATCCCAATGCAGTCGCTGAATAGCTGCATACGGTGGAACCGGGCACGGGTGAACCCACCTCTCTTCAACAAAGGATATCCCACTGCAGGGGTAAACTATGAATCACACTAAATTAGGAGGAGGGTAATGCGAATATCATGCGCACCCAGTTCAATACGGGGAGTCCTAGTTCAAAGATGATGAGACAACCCGAGGCCCCACCGCATGAGAAGAGAAAAGAAACTAGACAGTTGAGAAACAATAAAAACATGAGTCTGCACCTGTACACAATGTGGTTTCAATCTAAATCCAATTGTAAGAATAGAAAATGTAATTACTCGACCGAGGTCTCGCCCCGAAAGTGGCGTGTGCCCAAACAGCCAACCCCATGCGGAGCAGCTCGGAGGGGTGACTCCGCTTTCTCCATCCCCAAGAACTTTTCGACGTTTACCAACTACTACCAACTGGTCTGCAGGCAGCCATTTCGCTCCGGCCCTGGTGGTTCTTCCTGAACTTTTTGTGCGCAATGTCTGAAAAGAATGCGCCGCTGGGCGCTTCCAATGCGACAAAATCCAGGTCTACTGATGCAAGGAAGGATACGAGCGTCAAGAACTCGCAAACATCTGCGGCCAAGGCCGAAACGACCGGCTCGGGGAGTCACTCCAGTCCCAAGAAGCGCCGGAAGGTGAATCACGGTAAGGTGCCGTTGCGCAGCATGCGACAGGGATCTGGGCGCGGCCGATTCTGTTGCGCATAACGATAAGAACATCTTTGCTAACGAGGGTTTCCTGCAATTCTAGCTTGTGTATATTGTCGCCGCTCGGTAAGTTTGCTTTCTGTGGATACCATCATGCTTGGTTACTATACGCGATAGGCTATGCTATTAGTGCTGGCACAGAGGAACTGGCTTTGCTAACGGGGTTTTGTTCGCGTGGGACAGCATATGACCTGTGACTCGGTACGACGCCTTTGTCTCCCCTTTCCCCATTCGCGACCCGTCACATATGAAACCCTGAACGCAGACTTGCGGGAAATAAATTGCACCAGCTGACCAGTCTGAATCTATGAAGGAACGGCCCTGCACACGCTGTATAAAGCGAAACATCGGCCACCTGTGCCATGACGAGCCGAGGGAAACTGCGAAACGAGGACGTGGCGAACACGAACATTCTGCTGCAGACGACGAGGGCTCGTCTAACAATGAATTGGGCTCCGTTCAAGGCATGCCTAGGAGTGTCGATGTCGCCGATGCTGCTGGTCAGCAATCATTCCCTGATACTACGATTGGAATTGCACCCTCAGCTGCGAACCCGCCTTCAACGGTGCCGCCTGGGAATCTCTCTGCATCTAGTCAAGGCCTCGAGGCTAACTCTCAGCGTGAGTTCGCAACAATACCTGTTTTGCCTCCAGACTCAGCTGACGTGGTATGACAGTCATGCAATACAACGACTGGGTAGGTGGTCAGAATCAGTTCCAGGATATGCATTCTCTCCACCCGTCGTACATGTTTAATGCACACGAGGTGACCAACGAGTACAATCTGCTCGGAGATTTCCTCAGTAACAGTCTCTTGGACGACGGGGCGATGTTCCAAAATCAAGACATGCAGGGAATGTACACCGATTCATCGTTGATGAATTCGATGAATGGTATGGCGCTCCCGAATGGGTTACCTCCTCCGGCACAGCTTCCGCCGCCAGCACAAAGCCAAGTACCGCCAGGAGACTCGATTCAACGATCAATCCCCGCGGTGGGCAATGACAAAGCCCGGGAAACATACTACATGACCGCCGCCGACCCAGCAGGAACTGACCCACCAGAGGAGCGAATGAACAAGCTTCTCAAAGCGAAATATGACGCCGGATTACTGAAACCGTTCAACTACGTCAAGGGATATGCACGATTGAACCAGTACATGGAAAAGAACATGCAACAAATATCTCGACAAAAGATTCTGCGGCAGCTGGACAAGTTCCGGCCCAAGTTCCGAGAACGCATGCAGAGCTTGACTGATATCGAACTGATTCTGGTAGAGATGTGGTTCGAGCGGAGTCTTATGGAGTACGACCGCGTCTTTGCCAGTATGGCTATCCCAGCCTGCTGCTGGCGTCGAACGGGCGAGATCTTCCGAGGGAACAACGAGATGGCACAACTGATTGATGTCCCGGTTGAGGGTTTACGAGATGTAAGTTTAAAACCTGGAGACGCCCACATCATATAACAGTCAACTCACGTGTTTACTCTCTGTAGGGCAAACTTGCTATCCATGAGATCATCGTCGAAGATCAGCTGGTCAGCTATTGGGAAAAGTTCGGCGCTATCGCCTTCGACAATACCCAAAAGGCCATGCTCACCAGTTGCACCCTGAAGAGTCCTAATCCTAACTCAACGAATGACGGTATTACCTGCTGCTTTTCGTTTACAATCAGACGAGACAACCACAACATGTAAGTGTTCACGATTCACTGTCTAGATACTGACGTGATGGAACTGACAAGGTGTAGCCCGTCTCTCATCGTTGGGAACTTCCTCCCCATCGATAAATAGTACTTTTTTGGTAGACTGTTATTTATTATATGTCATGCAAGGATTTATCTTTTGGTATCATCTTTTGGCTTAGTGATTCCCCAAGTTTTGGCTGTGCTCTTTACGGAAAAAAATATATATTGCTTAATTTATGTGTACAACATCAAATAGCATGTTTTGGGTCAAATGATATCCAGGGAGAGAAGTAATCCTCTTGAGTAATATGTGTATGTTCCGTTTGCGATGGTCAAGAGACAAGATAAACTGAAGTTTGCATCGTAGCCTTCACGAGGCAGTTGTCTCTTTCGTCCCTCCACGCTCTTCTACCTCCAACCATCTTCTATCTACTCTCTCATTATCTCACTCTCTTCTATTAATCTTTTAGTCCACCTTTATTATCCCCTCTTGTCTTTTTTATCATCTTCTTCTTCCCTTGTCTCCCAATTCCCAAGTCTTCTTCTCCATGGCGCAGCCGTCGGGGGCACGCCAGGCTCTGGCAGGTACGAGCCTCACACCATATCCCCCTCTGGGTGCAGCAGCTAACCTCCAACCTCTTCTACCTTAGACTTTGCTTGCACTTTGCATACAACCTTATCCACAGTTGACCCTTCGACAATTCCTCTTCTCTCACCCAATACCATTTACAGACTAGATAGCGATCTCAACAGCAACCCGTTTTGTGTCTCGGTTAATACAGCCAATCGCCAGCAGCTGGATACGATTGGGACATTGCTTTGGAATGACTGCACCAATCTGATTATCTCGCGTGGTCACAATCCGGAGGATGTGCTACTGCTCGGCAAAGTGAGGGCTCTCGCGTTTGCCATCTTGAACATGGCTGTCTTGCCTGATCTGATAGGTTTGTCATGGCCTCTAGTATAAATTAAAGTGAGCTTGTCTAACTTTTCACAGGCAGTATCAGGGCCCTCGATCTAGCCCTCAAGGCGGCGCATATTTGCATCGGTATACCATCCGATATCTCACTTGATGACATTATCAGATCTAACAACAAGAACAGTGAACCAGCAGCTCGAAATTGCACTGAATATCTTGTCAGTGGCCGCTCTGAGGCTTGCAAGTGTTCAGCCTGCTCATCTTGGGCTTAATCCTGCGATTAACTGTACTCTCACCACCCGATACTTCTTGCTTCGTATTCGACTGGTGAGTCGTATTGTCCGAACACTGTTTTGTGTGTCAACACCAGCACTAACATATAATTCCAGGCCTGGTTGCACAATCGAGTAGATATCGCCGAGCATTTCTTCGCCAAGCTCCCTACGCCGATTATGACGAATGATGAAGAGTTGATTTTCGAAACTTGTTTTATCATTGGTGACTCTGCACTCGCACGGCGCCTGCCTGACATCGCAATCACATGGCTGCAGAGAGCGAAAGACCACTTGGAGACCCTGTCCATTAAGACTCTGGAGAAGACTCCGGATTACCACAATTGGAACTTGGTTATTCGACACTCCCTTGGTGAGTGGGTTGATCTAGTCAATGACCTTGGACTAACATGCTGCAGTTGTGGCTTGTGCACAAGTCAAAAACCCCCAGGCAATTGTCACCTACGATGTTGAAATGACGATTTTGAGAGAAGTACGTCTGTGCTGAGTGTGGTAGACTTGAAGCTGACCTCTTTAGGATTACCCAAAGCACCCTGCTATGGTCCTTTTTGATCTCTCGGTGGGACATAACAATCCCAGTAATGACGAATTACTACAAGGTGAGACTGGTCTATATCTTGAATGCAATTTAATTAATCATATTCCTCTAGGTCTGAAGGGTCTGGTTGAGGAGATACCTCTCACAGATATGAACATGCCGATGTGAGTTATCTCAGCAGGTGTTGACTGGATGTATTTTGTTTCCTCGATGTTGACATTGGATCTAGAATTTTCCAGTTTGCCCGGTCTCTGGGCCATACAGGGTACCTTGATACAGCCCATGTGGTGAGCCAGGTACTTTGCTAACGGTTATTTAGTGGTTCGGATCACGGAATGGAAGCATTTCGAATTTTGCTTATGCGCTCTTTGCCAACAAGGGAATGGACAGAGAAATGCCTTGTTGCTTTCCTTCTACTTTTGAGCAGATCGGAGGTCTCTGATTCTAAGCGCATTCGCAGCCTCCGGTGTGTGATCGACGCACTAGAGAAACGTGGATATCCATCAATCAGTGCCAGAGCAGCTCATGCCACCGTGATTGTAAGGTAAACTCTCACTATCTCCACTGAAAAGAGCTGACAGATTGTACACAGTGCCTCTGGAAAATGACTGGCAATGCACTTCTCAAGAAGGACTACTGGACTGCACAACTATGGCTTCAGGTGTGCAGTGATCCAAAGATTTTCCAACACTGCTCTATGTCCATCCAGATTGCGATACAAAAGTCAGTGGAACAAGAATTAATGATTTACTTGCATTATGGGCTAACGTCTATTCAGGAAGCTGGTAGCATGCTACCTACAGACTGGGGATACCACCGCTGCTCGCCGGTTAATCGATCGGGGTCTAGTCCAAAGTCAGGTTGATTGCCAAAGGATGTACTTGTCTTATAAGTTGTGCTTGCTGGAGGGGAAAGACGGCTCTGGTATGTATAGTCCATTGGACTTTCACTCTTCTGATTTACTCTAACTAAATGCAAGGGTGTTTCTATCTCGGCTTTCCTTTGCACCCTGTGCCACACAAGCAAATGAGTCTAGTATCATGCGCAATGGAAGCCCAGAGACAACGCAAACCAGAGGAAGTACTGAACTGCCTTGATCAATTCATCAAATGCTTGACTTCAGATGACATTTATCATCACGACTTTCCCGCCACCGAACATTACATGTGAGCATATTTCGAATCTACGGGTCCGTCTACAAGGCTAACTTGGTTACCCTGAACAGATTTGCAATCACTCTTCTTTCTGAAGAGCTCTCCAAAGGCTTTAGCCAGAGGCTTGGCAACTGCATCGAGGCTGTACTTCAGAGTGGTGCGTTTTTTCTCTCAGCTATGGTGGCCTTCTGATGCTGACCGTTCAATAGCCCTGGCTTATGCAAAGGAGAACAGCATGTTTGAGGGGGGAGAACAGGAGGTCTCAGTCACCCAACTGCAATGGCTATATTTTGCAACTTACAAACTTGCTTTGAAACTTATCAACTCTCCTGGTGTTATATGGGCTACTTCTGTCTTGAATCACTCTAAAGATGTCTGTTTTGAATCCATGAGGTATATTTCTGACTATTTTCACTAACATGTTTATAGTTTGCGCTTCAATATCGTCAGATTGCATACCCTGAGATGGGCTCCAGAGCACCTAGACCGCATTTATTCGCGGTTGTTTATCTCCGTCTCCTTGTTACCTCTTTCAAGGCCCGCCACGAGAACAATCCGACTCAAAAGGTGAGTTTCAACGTTTTTTGTTTATACCAGATTATCCGCCGGAGATGCCGCAGAATCATAGACTGATGATCATACTGACCATTTGCAGACATCGCACTACGAGGATTTACGCACTTGTTTCCAGGAACTCGATGACTTGCACGGCTGGGAAGATGGAGAAGAAGAGGCAGATGATGACGCGAATTACAAAGAAGACAGGCACCATGATATTGCGCAATTTTTCGATTTTGAGGCTGCCATGCACCTCAAGAAGTGGGATGATGTTGCCAGCATATGTGCATCTGACGACGCATTCTCCAATCCGAAGTTTTACGCACCTATCATGGATCTAACTCTCCAATTGAACCTGCCACCCAAACTGGCAATCCAGATCATCAAGGTACGCTCTATTCTTATGAATGCGAGACTAAATTCTCGGAACAACTACTGATATTCATACAATAGCGGATTGTGTCAGAACTCAGCGAGCTACAGGATCCCCCATCCACGTGGCAGCTCGATTTCAGGGTTTCCCTGCCTCGCTACCTCCATTGTCTATTCACTCTAGCAATTGCACCGGCTCAAGACCCAAACAGTCCTGAAATTGCTTTCCTCGACGTCAACATGGCCGACCCCGAAGTTGCTGAAGAAGTGCTCGACAAAGTCCTCGCAATGGCAACCGAAGAGGTAGCCGTTGAGGAGGGACACAATGCACAGCACGGTCTGAATGCCATCCAGGCCGGTTCTGAACTCTGTGAAGTGTTTACGTATCCAGCTGCGGAGTTGATCAAGATTGCTACCGTGGCTTTCAACAAAGCTACTGACTTTTACCGTGCTACCCAGGACGAAGACTGTCAGCGTTGGGCGAACAAAGCTATTAGTATTGCCCAGCTTGTGCCTAGTGATCAGGGCAAACAACTGGTCAATACGCTTCAGACTAGACTGGGAAGCTTGATTGGAGTCTGAGGCCTTGGGGGGTTGTTAAGCTGATTTGATCTGGAAGTTTCCAGTTAGTGTGTGGTGAGAGTGTGTGCGGTAAGGAATAAGTGTTTATCAAGGCGCTCCTGGCCGAGATTAGGTTGAAGATTGGATGGAGGTGTTCAATGATATTTCGAGATGAGTTTTGACAAGGCGGAGGAATGTATGTGTGTGTAATGAAGTGCTAGGTTTTTGAGATGAAATTGAAAAACTCGAATGAAGTATGTATTCTTATGCTTTGAAGAGAAAGAAAGGATTCAATGATCTTGATAATGGTGAGATGGCCTACAGCCTCTCTCCAAAAAAAAAAAGGGGTAAATATGGGTATCATCAGAAGGGAAATGATTTCTAAGAAATCAGGAAGTAGAAAGGAAAGTCGCCCAAGCCACCGAAAATCCAGTAGATGATGCAAAGATGCAAGGAAACAGAAAGAGAAAAATCAAGAGAATGCACGAGCCAAAATGCCAGTAAATATGGAAAAGAAGAAGAAAGAAAAGAAAGGATCAAGGAAAGGGGATATAAAAGCTCCAGCTTCCACGTTCGAAGCCAAAAAAACACCAGAAATAACCTCTCCCTAATGCAGAATAAAGATTCCATGAGAGGACGAACTTCATTCTTCCTCATTTGTATCGCAAGAACGGCTCCGCGAAACCTGTCGCACCCCCTTATACCGCAACGATGGGGTAGACGGCATACGGTGAGGAACACGAGGCGACTTAGGCATAGCCGAGTAGCTCTGTTTCCGCTCCCGCTCCCGCTCCGTATCCTTACCACTACTATCCGTCTCAGTCTCGCCGCTTTCATCACTGCTCTGTCCACGACCACCCACAATGCGGAGTGTGAGACTGAGCTCACGCTCGAGCTCCTTTTGCGCTTGCATGCGTTGACTCGAGCCATTGAGTTTCTTGCGATACGCTCGCAGACTCCGGCACAGCTGCTCGGTGGACATGTCCAGGCTCCCGAACTCGCTGCGCGGGGTTGTTTTGCCGCGGTTGCGGAAGTCAATGGATGTACGGCGGTTGGTGGTTCTTGCGCTGTGCGGTTTGCGGGGTGTTGGGGCCTTTGATTTCGGGCTAACTGGGGATGGGGACCGACGACGTCGGTCTTGTGGTGTGCCAGGTCCTGGTGTTGGGGAAAGGCGATTTGGCGGGGAGGATGTTTCTGAGACGGCGTGGTTTTTCAGTGAAGATGGTGCTAGAGATAGTCGAGAGAGCTTGCGGAGTAGGGTTGGGGAGTGCTCGCGTATAGGTGTTGGTGTTGTAGGGTTGGGGCTATCTGGTCGTTGAAATCCGGCGAGCTCGCTGCGGGAAAGGACTTTTCGGAGAGGGGGCCTCGCGGCTGTCATTTCTTTCACGGGGGTTTCATCGTCCTCGCGTGTATTCCCGATGAGGTCTGATGAGACCTGTTGCTGGACAGATAGGTTCCATATCATCAGGATACCATCCATACCAGCACTGACCACTGTGCGCTTGGTTTGGGATCCATCGGATTTATCACGCTCCTCCAGGAGTAACACATCGGTGACGCCTTCTGTATGGCCAAATTCGCCAGTGAGGAGCTGGTCTCGCTCTAGATCATAGACACGAATAGATTTGTCGGTGCTCGAAACACCTATAAGAACCTTCGGAGTCTGGCCTGAGATTTCAGATGCAATCGTCAACGAGCTCAAAACCACCGCATCAGCTGTCTCCGAATCCGATGCCTTGAAACAGTGAAGTTGATGTCCAGAGGGAATATCGAATTTCGAAACACAACGATCCATGGTGGAAAGGTATAGAATGTTCGAGTCGTCTGGACAAAGTGTCATCGACACCGGGGAGGACTTTTGAGTGATGACCCTTGAGATGAGGTAGGCAACAGATGTACCACCATCCACCTCGCGTGTAGCACGATCGCGTATGACAACAGTTCGGTCTGCGGAGCACGAAAGCAGCTTTTCGCCTTCGTTGATGAACATCAATTGTCCAACAGCTCCGACGTGATCGTCCATGGTTTGAATCAACTGCAACTCGGTGTCTCGTCTCTCGAAGAGTTGCACCATCCGATCACGCCCAGAACTAGCTATCAGCCAGGTATCGTCCATTCCTTGGACGGCCACATCCGTGATCTCTCCACCATGGGCGCGCGCCTCGTTGAGGCAAGTCCAGTCAGAGTTCGAAAAGATTCTACATCAGAGTTAGCTGAAGAGCTTGGCCAGTATCTCATGTTTGCACATACCTCAATACACCAAACTTGTCAGCAGAGACAAACCAACCGGCATTTTCAGCGGTCCTCAAAACTTTGAGTTCGTTTGCCGCCTCATCTTCCTTTCCTGGAAATTGGTCGAGATCGATGTTTTTAGACCCTCGACACTTCCCTTGTACATCCCAAAAGTTCACCGAGCCATTGCGAGACCACGTGAAAAAGTCCGCAGACAAGTCGTTGGGAAAATCCATGCGGCAAATACCGAGAATCGGGTCCCGATGGGCTGGCATGGAAGCTTCGCCCTCCTCCTGTTCACCATCCTCACTTAAAGTATCGATCGGATAGACATGAATCGCGCGGGTGGACTCAACAGTGACCAAATGAGAATTAAGAGACCCCATGCAAGTAATCGCCGGGGTCTTGCTTTTCTTGTCAAGCGCACTCTTGTCAAGGCGCGCAGAAGGTATCGGCGTAGATGAGCCGGGTGATCGTAAAAGTTCAAATGGCACCCGCTGCATTTGCCTTCCTCGTCCACCTAGCCATACGGACTCCTGGTCAAAGTCCACGGCCAACGAGGTGATGCTGAACCCAACTTGCTTTACTGTGATCATCTTCTGGGATCCTTCTCGATCATCAAGAAAGCAAACCGCGCCTGAATCTGTGCCAATTACAGCCTCATTGTAGGAAATACTGTTCACGCAGGTGAATGTGTTGTCCCCAAGTGCGCCCAGTAGACAATTCCTGCCAGAGAGTGCTTTCGGGGCTGGATTAGGTGAGGGACCAGCTCCATCTACATTCAAACGCGTCTTGGTTGGTGAAACAGGCCGAATCACCGTTGGAAGACGCCAGACCTTAACGTGTCTCAGACCGGTCCTAAACAAAGACATTAGTTGACTTCTAGTTATCACCATCCGATTAAACATACGTGACCAAGCTCTGGCCGACCCAGCACATATCATTGATAAACGAGGTGCATTTATTCGCGGAGTGCAGCTTGGCCGACCCGTTCTTGAGGTTGATTGTCCAAATAAAGAGGAATCCATCGTTCGGATTGCCGAGCGTTGCCAAATACTGCGAGTCAGGGCTAAACGCTAAGCTGCGAACACCAAAAGTATGCTCGTTCAGAATGGATAGAGGAACATCCGGCAATGCATCTCTCGCTGTCGAAAATATTAAAACTCGAGGATTATAGCCAGTCTTGACCGTCGTTAGCTGCTATTTTTGCAACACCTTATCTCAATTTCCCTCACTCACCTCTCCCACTGCAAGAAATCTTCCATTCGGGCTGATCGAAACACTCGTCACTGCTTTGATTCTTTCCCTCGAAGACCATCCACGCGGACTGCCGCTGTCGATAATTTCGCTTGACGGAGACCCATTGTGAAGATTAAGGTGTGGGTTGGACCGGATATGGGAGAGGGATCGCGACCTTGGATCTGGGGTGGCCGGAGGAGTCGAGTGATTGTAAAATGAAGTTGATGGGTTAACACTCGTCGCGGAGGGGCGGGCTCGGAAGAAGCGTTGTGTTATGTTGTCGTTCTCGTCTAACTCTGCAAGAACCGCTGCTGATCCAGCGCATAGCGCAAAGCTTCTGCTCTGGTCATGGCTTGAAAAGCCATTAGGGGTGGTTGTTGTTGTGCCGATAACGGTTTGGAGGGATAAGGATGATTGATGAGAGGTTTTGCTCGGGGATCGCACGCCTGGTCGGAGGATTGGAGAGTTCGAAGGAGTGATTTTCAAGGATGCGCCGGGTCCAGCAAGCTTGCTTTTGGCAATGAGGGGGGCGGTGGTAGCCATATCCTCGGGGAGAGGACGATCGGTGATTCAAGGTCCGCTGAGAGCGCAGGATATTTGCATTTCAAGCCAAGTTCATGAGGTAGGTCCGTGGATGCCAGTCAGGCTATAGCAGACGTCGAAAATTTTATGTCGGGTCGTGGTCAGGAGAGAGTGTGGAGGGCTGGTAGAATTAGTGGGGGCAAGCTGAAATGAAGCTCTGATCAGCCAAGTCTGATCTCCATGCACACACAACTCTAGAACTCACCAAAAGAGCGTCTAGGAAGAGAAAAGGAAACAAACACGAAGCTCATTCCGCACCGAAGCAGATCATTCCAATCGATCGGAGGAATTTGAACCTTTGGGATGCCCCTGGCTCCATGGGGTTATATGGGCTTCTGCTGGCTTCTGATTGGCCTCTTGTATTTGAGGAATCACCAGATTCCCACTTGTCGAGAGCTTTGAGATCTCTGAATGCCCTTTGATCTACGAAAAAGCGTAGGATGAACGGTGGGTCGAGTACGCACAGGTCGCCGCACTAAACCGGGCTTTCGGCTCAACGTGAGCTCCTAATAGTAGTATGATGTACGTTGTTGGACGTTGTTATATCCCAAAATCAGATCAGATCAGAACCAAGGGAGGCCCACGGGAGGTTCCACTGAAGGTCCACAGGTGTCCAGTGGATTTGCTTTTGGTCTGAGACTAACCTTGGACGGTCTCACGTGCCTCGAAAACGATCTCGTGTCCCCCGATGCCCTAATCTCACCACAATTCGACCAGTCCATTGCGATATATCGCCAGCTACGGTATTGGGCATTTTGGCACCCTTACATGCCCATTTCTACCAATCATATAGATCAATTACAAGTCTCATGCAGCTGTACTCCAAAAGCGCTAAACTCCTACCATCTCATGTTCATTTTACTACCTAAACTACGAAATACGGGGCTCTAAACATGATTCGGGACAATAATCATGCTCTTGTATTGGTAGCATCTCACTGCCGTGGAAACTACATACAAAAGCGCCAATTTCCAACTCCGGCACTCGCGGTTGATGCAGGCCATTGGGACGTTCATGCAGCCACTATCACATATATACGTATATAGAAAAATTGATATCTGATATACTATTAGATAGGCTACGAGGCAAAAGGTGTCAATGAGCACATTTATTCATTCCTCCACTGAGGAGAAAAGAAGGTTCAAGTCTGGGGGTAGACAGCTAGTCGGTCGAGGAATGCTTGAGCTCGCTGTTTGAAGATGGAAAACCCTGACTATACGAGCTATCGTCATCCTGATTTCTGCTAGCGCTAAATATCGCCCAACGCAGCTTCCGGGCCCATAAAGAAACGACACCATTCATATGTGTAGGCGAGCGACCCCTGTTGGATTGATTTTGATGTTTTGAGTCGGATCGGCTAATCCATTTCTCTGGCCCAAATTGCTCTACATCAGCGCCCCATAGATGCTTCGCTCGGTTGATGGCGCTTGGAATGGCGATGTAGGGGCCGGCTTGGACGAGAAGCCCGCTGGTGTAAGTATTACATATAGCCTAGCGTAATGTCATAGAAAATGTAGGAAAAAGGCGAGAGATACAATGCCCAGGATGGGAAACTCGCCGTACTTTCGAACCAACATAAATTGAAGAAAGGTACTTTAGAGAGCTCATATTGGAAAGCTACGTTGTTTGAGGGGGTTTTATGGTTTTCTACGCCATTGTATACATCTAGAAAGACCTTTTGAAGACAGTCTAAAAAAGATCATACAAGAAGAACAAGCAAAAACAAATTGGGATATTCTTACATGTACCGTCTGTAATATCATATCAGACCAAATAGATGGATCGGATTATTCAAGTCTTATAGAGGTCGTACATGCGGCCGACTGTTCTTGTACATGGAAAGTTCAGGTTGATAGGAGTGTTCTGCCGTACCTTTCAGGCCACCAACTTTCTGGTTATCTTATCGCCACTGGATATTTTCCCTTTACTGTAAACTTCCAGATCTCTCACATTCATCTATTGTCAACTTTGTTCCTTTTCCATCTCCACGCGATTTTTACAATGGCCTCCAAATGTGCTGCCTCATCGAGGCTGGCTTTGCCTGCCGTTCTGCGCAATGTTTTCCGCTCTCAGTTCACCAGTAACTTGGGCACTTCTGCAATAATTCCTTATCACCGACCTCTTGCCTCTGGTCCTCTTTTCTCTTCGAATATCCAGCTGCAACGGCCCTTCAGTGCAATTTCGCGCTTGTGTGATCACCAGAATGAATCAGCGCCCGCAGCCCCTGAACCCCCGGCCGTCACCGATAATACTGTGCCTTCTCAAGACAAAACACCGAAAAAGAAAGATTATGACTCATTCGGCAAGAAAGGTGGATGGAATAATCATAAGCGTCACCCTAAGGACCAGCGAAGGGACCCAGATAGCACCGGAAGAACCGACAGGGAGCGCAGAGCTTTCCGCAACGAGACTCGCAGGGAAGCTAAAAAGGAACCTCGCAAGGATTGGCAAGACAGAGCCGAAAAAGCGAAGCAGTTCTCAGAGAACAGGGGAAAGAGAAGGCCTGAGACCTGGCAAGTGCAAAAAGCAGCTCTGAAGGAGAAGTTCGCCGGTGGTTGGAACCCACCCAAGAAGCTTTCACCTGATGCCCTTGATGGAATCCGTCATCTTCATGCGAAGGCCCCTGAGCAATTCACGACCGCTGTACTCGCAGAAGAGTTTGAAATGTCCCCGGAAGCTATTCGTCGAATTTTGAAGAGCAAATGGCGTCCGTCGGAGGACGAGATGGAGAGTCGGCGCAAGCGATGGGAGAACCGACACGATAGAATCTGGAGCCGTATGGCTGAGCTTGGTCTTCGCCCTTCGACCAACCGCACGCGGACCCTTTCAGACTTCCATGTGCTATATGATGACAACAATCGCGAGCGAAGATAGTCGTCTGTGTCCATCATACTTTGTTATATATAGTTTTAATTTGCGCCTGTACAATAAATAATATCACCTATAACCTTTTACTGCTTTAATCTTGGGAATAAAGAACAAATTTATTATAGTAGTTGGTTGCAGCATAGAGTGGGTGGGTATCATATGTCATTTAGTCCGTAGGTTCGGGGTGGAGCTAGGAGCAAGGATATCATCGCCACGCAACTCCCTCAGCAACACATCTTCAACTCTACAACCAGCATGGTTCATTCAGGTTGACAGAATGCTAGTGGCGGCACATTTCACCAAGCTTCGACCTAACTACAGCTCATTGTGCCGGCAATTCCCCCCAGGCCTTGGCCCCCCTCGAACTGCAGCCCACATGCTGACACAACCGCCATGCCATCCAACATCCAAGTCTTCGTGAAATGGAAGGACCAGACTATATTTGCAGGAGAGGACGTGGAATGTACTATAACATTTAAGAACGTGGCCGATACAGGTGCCGATGCGAATAATGGGGGCGAAGGTGGTCAACATTCACGGAAGATCTCTCGAGTCGCGAACCACACACCCAACTCGAACTCGGAATCTTTCTTCGGATTTAAATCACCCCAGGCTCTCTTTTCTGGCCGCCGATCGTATTCCATCAGCTCGCAACGAACGCCTAATCACCGGGCAGCCTCATCCCTGAACTCTCCGTTGGTCGGCTCCCATAGCTTTCCTCCGAACAACGGCCCCTCTACACCACGAGCATGGCAACCAGGTCACAACCATAAACGATCCGTCTCCATCCTCTCCATTGATAGCGAAGGCCAACTCGATCCGACACCTTCTCCGCGCCATTACAACAGACACCAGTCAGCCAGCAGAGGTCATGGGCGCTCGGCGAGTCTCCAGGTTCTGCCGCGAAGGAACAATAGCTATGAGGATTCTTACAAAAAAGGTAGATGATGCACAGTGCCAATATGTGCTTAGGGGATCTTCAACTAATGACTGTCTCTTATCAGCGAGATCCCCCTCCCATGCCTTTCCATTTCCATTGACCGAGGCTCCTAGCGAGCATCCCAACGGCAGCCTGAGAGTTGATACCTCCCACTTGGGGCGAGCCAGCCGCGCTGGCTCTCTAGCGACTAGTCCAATAGGCACGTTAGAGCCATTGCGTGCACCTGCGCGACGACCCCAACCACCTCCTCTTGATTTTAAGTTTCCGGCGACGCCTTCGATCGATCCAACTAACACTCGTACCGTGCGCACCCCATCACCAAAGTCGGCAACAACAAACGGCACATCATCAACCGGTGGAAGGCCCGCTATCAGAGACGCACAAGGTCTCACTGGGCCGGCGCACCAACAACTAACTCGGATTATATCAACTACAAGTGTGAATGGGAGCAGCCGGAGCAGCGGGGAGTTCTATTCCGCCAGCGACCACTCTACCGAAACCCTAGGGTCTGAATACACAAATTATTCGATACAGGGTGCTCGAGCTCCCCCTCCCATGCGGCACGCACGGCATCATTCGAGTGTAGTCGCATCTCCCGCCAAAGCTTCCAACAGCCAGGCGCTGCTGATGGGCTATGCGCAAGTTAATGCATCTTTCACGGTCGATGGATCATTAGTGAACCAGTCAGCCTTCGACGAAGTCAAGCGAAAGGGAGTTGTTGGTGGCCAACCGGGTTCAGGCGGACTTCCTGGCCGCCCAACGCCAACGGCCGAGCGACCACGTAAAACCGGTGGCTTCTGGGGCGCACTCAAATGGAACACAATTGAGGAATCTATCAATGGTCTTCTTTCAAATAACGAACTGGACGGTCTACGAGAAATGCGTGGTGTTACATCGTCGAGATCAATTCCGCTGTTGTCCACCTCGCAGTCGCTGCTTTTTGTTGACCTCCGACTGGCACCAGGGGAGGAACAGTCATACTCTTTCTCGTTCTCCCTTCCCAAAGGTCTCCCGGCGAGTCACAAAGGGAAAGCAATCAAGATCTCATATAATTTAGTCATTGGAACCCAGCGGCCTAGCGGGCCTAGCGAGCCCCAAAAGGTCAACCGCATCAACATACCCTTCCGCGTTTTCAGCGGCGTGAATGGTAAGTTGCATTCTTCAGTTTGCTTTTCATCCAAATTTCTCACGTTTTTATAGAAAAGGGAGACATTCTTGGGCATGACTTGATGTCACCTTATGTAATTCTACGGGATGAAGCGAAGGTACAAAAGGTCGGGCCAGTGATGCCTGTGATAACGAAAAACCAAAGTGTTAGCAAGTCTCACCATTCCGCGGCCGATTTCCTTGGTTTTGTGGATGAAATTTTGGAGCAACGTGCGCGTTCTAACACGCTGTTCCCACCTGGTGCTGTGCCCTCGAGACGACCTAGCGTCGAAGGATTACCCCAGATGCTTACTACCAAGGATGTCATCGACTTTGCTATTCTTCGCAGCAACCAGGCCGTGAACTCTCGCCGCAGCCCCAATCGCTTTGAGATTGCCCGCGAAGGTAAACGTATCGCAGTGGTCGTCTTGAACCGACCAGTCCACCGACTTGGAGAAACCATTATCGCCACTATGGATTTTGGAGATGCTTCAATTCCATGCTACGCTGTACGTGCCTCGCTAGAGACGTCCGAAAAAGTCACCCCTACTTTGGCCATCCGATCCAATGCCAGCATCCACCGAACCACGCGGCGCATCCATGCTTCTCTGTTCGAGAACACACTCCATGCCACCCGAGTGGCTTTCAGCCCTGCTATCCCTATCGCAGCCACGCCTTCAATTTTGACGAGCGGTGTGACTCTCGAATGGGAATTGCGGTTTGAGTTTGTGACATCTAGTGTTCGAGGCGAGCAAGGGGCCCAACCCTCGGGCACTCGCTTACTCGAGGCCTTGTCATCGGATGATCGTGGCACTGTGTTGTCTGCTATGGAACATTTGAACTGTGAATCATTTGAGATCGCTATCCCACTGACGGTTTATGGAGAGACTGTTCGAGAACGGCTGCCTGAGGAAAATGAAGGCTACCCAATCTAGAACTCTAGATGTACACTAGATGTACACATGTGCTTGCCTGCTGTGCTTGCCTGCCGTGCAGGTTATGCGTGATTTTGTTTCGTTGGATCAAATATTCCCCTGGTGCCTTTGCGGGATAAACTCCCACGAATATAGGCCCCACTAGGCTCTGGGTTCCCATGTATAATTGATATTAAAATAAAATTGAATTCAAAAATAACCATGTACATAGTTGTCCTCGTATATGTGAATGTAAAATATATTCTTATAGTCTGTGACGTACATGTGGTAACTGGGGCAACGCGGTCAGTCAACGGATCGGATCTCACATTATCGACTTTAGAGCTGAAACCCGATAACATTTCTCTCCTTGCGCGTTTCTCTCAAACATATCATCCATAATCATTGTCAGGTATGGTTCATTGGCATTATATGCACGTCAGCAAATCTGCACATCTGATGGCATTCCTCAAACCTTGGACAGCAACTGATATTTGACATGGGAATGTAGGCATATCACGATCAGCGCAAACCCCGCCGAAATACACCCCCTACCAAAAGGGATTACTTTTTTTTCTCGAGCCTGAGAGAATATGGCTTCGTTCATCACCACCATGTCTGTCCCCGCTACCCCTCCCGTTACCCATTCCCCTTCCCCTGGGGAGCCTACCTCTCGCTCCCCGCAATCCCACTTCCCTTCTATTATCAGCCCTTCCGCCCTGTATCAGACTACTCGCACTTCTCATCTTCCCCTCTCGGAGCCTCCATCTTATCTATCGCCGGCGGTGCGCGCACTCAAACAGGGCTGCTTTGGACTAACACCTCCCAGCAATGCACGCACACGCGCCCCCTTCAAGCCCCGCTCGGCCGCCAAGGGCACGAGCAGTTATCAGCTACGACAATTCGCTGAAGCTACACTTGGAAGTGGTAGCTTGCGCAAGGCTGTGAAGCTTCCCGAAGGCGAAGATCAGAATGAATGGCTGGCCGTCAACAGTAAGACACATCTTGCGGAGTTGTACTGGGTGTATCTGCTAATATTTTGGCGATCTAGTTGTCGACTTCTACAACCAGATCAACCTTCTCTACGGCTCAATAACCGAGTTCTGCTCACCGCAGACATGTCCCGAGATGAAGGCTACAGATGAGTATGGTACTTCTTCAGCAAGTGGTTGACTCCTGGCTTATAAGTTTGGATAGGTTCGAGTACCTCTGGCAAGACTCGGAGAGTTTCAAGCGGCCAACCAAGATGTCTGCCCCGGAATATATTGAACACTTGATGGCTTGGGTTCAGAGCAATGTCGACAATGAGCAAATGTTCCCTAGCCGGATCGGTACGTCTCAACTATCATCCGTTAGATAGATATATTGCTCACCCGTATTTTCCTTTCAGGTGTTCCATTCCCCAAGACCTTCCCCAGTCTTCTCCGCCAGATCTTCAAGCGTCTATACCGTGTCTACGCCCACATCTACTGCCACCATTACCCAGTGGTAGTGCACCTCGGCCTCGAGCCTCACCTGAATACCAGCTTCAAGCACTATGTCCTGTTCATTGACGAGCACAAGCTTGCTAGCGGAAAGGACTTCTGGGGACCGCTGGGTGATCTGGTGGATAGTATGTTACGCAGCGACTGAGGATTGAATCGAGAATCTGGGTAGTAATTGTGTTTTGCATCTGATCTCCGCAGTCAGGGATACTGACTAGTTTACGGAAAGGATATCCTAACGGCGTTTCGGGTGCGGTGCATGCATTGTAGTATTTTAACTTGATTTTTTTGGCGTTTGGTGGCTTGACCTGACGCGAAGACCGAAACGATGAATCCATGGATATTTTTTTATTTCCGATTTCTTTTTGTAGAGAGGAATGCTGTTATGATTATTTTGCGGGCCATGGAAGCCTATATATGGATTGTCTAGACTAGGTTTTATACTTATATGGTCCTACGACTAGCACGAGAGATGATCAAAGGCTTTAAACCAACCAGCAATTGTGTCCTAGTGGTTATCAGTGGGTATAGTTCACCACTAGACCACTAGATGCACCAGTCTCAGGCTATGTATGCCCTCAGCTGTCACTGGATTGGACCTACTCTCGTATTTTCGTCTGGGTGGTTGACCCGAAGCTCAAACAATATTTGGATTGACTGCTTGGTAATGGACCATTTTATATACCAGTTAGTCAAGTCTATCATGGTTACACAAGCCGCCTTGGTATGCCAATGATATAATTTTCGAAGCAGTAAAGATTGGCCAGGTTCAATGCACTAACAATATCGCTTTGTGGGCAAAATCGGACGTGTGATAGAATCGACGACACGCCACGAGTGTAGAAGTTCCGTAATTATTTACCTCATTTGAAATGACACCAACAATGTCGAAGCTACGTCGAAGCCGCCAAGCAATTGTATGTACACGTGACTTTCTCCGTGCGTGCGTGCACGTGACAACGGGAACATTCGGCCCGGAGGTCTCAACCTTGCATCCTTGACTGAAGCAAGCACTCCGAACGTCGATATCACCTCTCCATTCAACCCTCTGCGTCTCCCCTCCCTCCTCGAGGCCACTCCTCCAGCCAATTGCACAATGATGTCCGCTCGCTTCGCCCGCGCTGGCCTGCGTGCCACTCAGTTCTCCGTTCCTCGCACCGCCGCCGTTAACGGCATCAGGACCTATGCCACCCCGGCCCAGGAGACCCGCGCCCCCGTCGCCCTGTTCGGCGTTGATGGCACCTACGCCTCTGCTCTGGTATGCACCTCCATTGCCCCCGTCTTGTCGCGACCTTGTGTTGGACTTTTTTTTTCGCGACAAACACCCCCGTCTTTCCCCGACCCCTCCCACAGTTGTGTTCCAACTCTTCAAAGCAATCTTCAAATCCTAATCAAAACAACCCGCAAACAAATTCCCGGAATCAATTACCGCCTCTAACAATGCTCGTCAATAGTACACCGCTTCCGCCAAGTCCGCTGCCCTCGACCAGACTGCCCGTGCTATCGCCAGCCTCGGCGAGACCCTCAAGGCTGACAAGAAGCTCGGCGCTATCCTTGGTGCTCCCATGCTCACCCCCGCCGACAAGCAGTCCATTGTCGAGGAGCTCGCTAAGGTCGCCGGTGCCGATAAGGCCGGTATCCTCAAGAACTTCCTCGAGACTCTCGCCGAGAACAACCGTCTCGGTTCCCTCGAGGGTGTCTGCGAGAAGTTCGCTACCCTGATGGGCGCTCACCGCGGCGAGATCGACCTCAACATCACCAGTGCTCAGGTACGGATTCCTTGAGCTGTGTTTCGGTCTCAGCACAAAAAAAGAAATCTAGGAGATAAGCTAAAACTTCGTCCACAGGAGCTCGATGCCAAGACCCTCTCCCGTCTTGAGAAGGCTGTTTCCAAGTCTCAGTTCAGCCAGGGCAAGAAGCTCAAGGTTGTTGCCAAGGTGCGTTATATTTGATGGTTTTTTTGGTTTTGTGAATGTTTACTAACTTGTTAACCAGGTCAACCCCGATCTCGTTGGTGGACTCGTCGTTGAGATTGGCGACCGCACCGTTGACCTTAGCGTTTCTTCCAAGATCGCCAAGATGAACAAGGCTCTTTCCGATGCTTTGTAAATGTAAATTAGCCTCAGCGTTTGAGGGATGGTTAGATTATAGCATATCGTCCCGGATGAACGGTAGCGTTCGGGAGAAAGGGGGATTCTAAAATTCCCTTTTCTACCTTCATTTTGTTTTGTTCTCATTGTCAATTGCACAAATTCATCTATAATTGATGTCTTATAGATCCTTACTTATCGGAACCCTACAAGGTACGGTGGACATCTTGGCCTACCGGGTTGACAGTGTGCAGTGTATTTCTAATCCCTCAATCCGCTTACCTTGGTGTCTGTCTACCTTCCGTATCGCGTGGACCCAACGTGCCGTTCTGATCGCCAGTCAATCCACCCGATGACTTTTTAATTATATATCCTGACTCTCCCCTAGGAGTGTGTGAGAGCATTTTGTGATACACCCATGCATAGAGGCAGGCAAGTTCCTAATGATATTATCCACGTTTACTTCACTATGAAATGCTTTAGAAATCAAGACTATACTCCGAAAATACTATGAATAAGTTGGAAATGGTAGATATCAGATGCAACACGTGTAAACAAGGAAATAGGAAAGAAGCGGGACAGTAACCACAAACAAGATGATCGTTATTATCGTGTCCATAACCAAAGGAAATGACCAGGAGAGAAGAGAAAGAAGAGGGGGGAAAAGAGAAAGGGATGCCTATATAAAGACACATCATCAAATAAAAGATGAACAACAACTACTATCCAATGCAGAATTAAGACTGTCCATTCTGCTCATTCTCCTTGTCAGCCCTCGTCTCAAACTCATCCTCATACGCTGCAATTGAAGCCGAGCTGCGAACCCGCTGCAGTTGACTCTCCACATAGTGGTCAACATGTTCCTGGTTGTCAGGGGCCGCAGTGCTACCTCTACGACTGCCCGCACGACTAGGACCACGGCTCTCGTCGTCATCATCCAAGACCGTCGACGCAGCAGGCGTAGCATCGCCAGAGTAGAAGTCACTACGGTTTCCAATGGAACGTGTAGTCGACGAGCGACGGATAGATGGGCGGTCCGAGCCGCGCGGTCGTCCAGAACGGGAGAAGATGTCGTCGAAGTAGTGCGATGCGGCGGCAAAGGGCGACCGCGGTGTTTGCGGTAGACGACAGTTGATACCGGTGTCGTGGATAATCTTTGCGATCAATCCTGTCCATCCGCACTGGTGCGATGTTCCCAGCCCGCGCCCGCTGTCGCCATCGAAGAACTCGTGGAACCAGAGATTGTCTTTCCAGTGCTCGTCGAAATCGAGGAGGTCTGATCCGGCGTTTACGGCGCGGCGGCCTTCGTCGTTGCGGGCGAAGAGGTGTTGCATGCGGTGCTGGAGTTCTTCCGCTACGTGTCCGAGGTGCATGTAGTCGCCTGAGCCCTTGGGACACTCGACTTGCAGGCTATCGCCATAGAACATGTGGAAGCGGAGGAGAGACTCGACGAGGAGGAAATTGACGCAGAGCCAGATGGGACCGCGCCAGTTGCTGTTGCCGCCAAAGAGAGAGGAGTCGGAGTCACCGGGAACGTAGCCAACTTGGAAGGTTTCGCCGTTGACATCCATGGAGTATGGATTGTCTTGGTGGAACTTAGACAGAGAGCGGATACCGTGCTCGGATAGGAACTCTGTCTCATCGAGCATTCGCTCGAGGATCTTGACGAGACGGTCTTTGCTAACAAGGGCTAGTAATAGTCGGTCGTCCTTGCCGCGGCGCTTCATGCTGGCAATGTTACGCTCGGCTATGTCTGGCTTGTTCTCAATGAACCAGTCCACTCGCCGCTTAAACGAGGGGAACTGGTTGATAAGCTCGGGCTCTAGGGTGAGAACCGCATACAGCGGGATCAAACCGACGAGGGACCTAATGGGTAGCTGCTGGGTCCATGGTCCGCCGTAGGAGATGGCATCATAGTAGAAGTTATCTTCTTCGTTCCAGAGTGACTGCACAGTGTCATCACCCGAACGGTAGGTCATTGCATCACTGATGAGCAGGAAGTGCTCGAAGAACTTGGATGCAATGTCTTCGTATATGCGACGGTGCTTGGCCAGCTCGAGGGCTATGTTGAGCATGGTCAGGGAGTAGAAGGCCATCCAACCAGTGCTGTCAGCTTGCTCAAGCACACCGCCAGTGGGCAATGGCTCCGAGCGATTAAACAGACCGATATTATCGAGTCCCAAAAAGCCGCCCTCAAACACATTCTTGCCACCAGAGTCCTTCCGGTTCACCCACCAGGTAAAGTTAAGCAGCAGCTTTTGGAATACACGTTCCAGGAAGTCCAAATCCTGTCGTCCGTACATCTTCCGTTCGATCTTGAACGTGCGGAATACGGCCCATGCGTGCACGGGAGGGTTCACATCGCCAAAGTTCCACTCGTATGCAGGCAGCTGACCGTTCGGGTGCATGTACCACTCACGGGTGAGAAGGTCAAGTTGCTTCTTTGCAAAATCAGGATCCATCATAGCCAGTGGGATACAGTGGAATGCAGTGTCCCACGCAGCGAAGAATGGATACTCCCAAGAGTCCGGCATCGATAAGATGTCGTCGATGTACAGATGACGCCACTGCTCATTACGAATGCCCTTTCGGCCCGGTGGCGGGGGAACTTCAGCTGGGTCACCGTTGCTCCATTGATCCCAGATGAAGTTGTAGTACTGCTTGCACCACATCATTCCGGAGAAGGCTTGACGCTGGATGTTGCGGAGATCCTCGCTCATAGGGAGAGGGTTGAGGTGGTAGTAGAAATCATCTGCCTCGGCACGGCGCTGTTCAATCACATCGTCCAGGACTTCTTCATCCAGGACTTCTTCCTTCTTACGGGAAACTCTAAAACGGACAACGGCGCATTCGCCGGGAGGGACTCCCTCGCCGTTGTTGAAAGCGTACCACGCAGCAAACTTAGTACCTTCATTGTCTGGGTTGATAGCGCCCTTTTCTTCTTCGACGATATGGCGGTGGAATGCGTCTTTGACATAGGGTGTATCATTCTCCGTACCCCATAGGAATTTGTTGTTAGTCTCGTTCTCGGTGAACATCATCTCAGGCTGGATATCGTCATCGCTCGATCCAACTGGAGGCGAGGGAGCAAAGGAGACATATCGCTCCCCGATTGTGCTGTGCTTTGA